TCCAAACGGAGCTAAATCCACTTTGGGTACTTCTGAGAAAATCACCTTTTTTTATTTTTCCACTTTCCCTTTAGCCATGTACCTTCATATTGTTATTTATGTTAAACGTGTCACCCTGGACCAATAATATATGATAAGAAAAAAAATCTACCAGTTATTTCTGATTTTCACTAATTTTTTAGATTTTGTGGATTTAGCTCCTTTTGGAATGAAACATGGATTTAGCTCCTTTTGGAATGAAACGGATTTAGCTCCTTTTGGAATGAAAACTGTGATATGTTGTTTATTTTCTTTTCAAAGGTTTTTTAGTTGTGATTTTACTATTATTATTTAAAAGGAAAGGTTTGCTACTAAATTTAAATAAATTTCAGTGACTTTATTGAGAAAATATGACATTTTTCAGGTACAATATCATGTTTCATTCCAAAAGGAGCTAAATCCACGATAAACAAAAATCTAAAAATTTAGTAAAAATCAGGAAAAACTGGTAGATTTTTTCTTTTCATATATTATTGGTCCAGGGTGACACCTTTAACATATATAACAACATGGCTAAAGGGAAAATGGAGATATAAAAAAAGTTGATTTACTCAGAAGTACCCAAAGTGGATTTAGCTCCTTTTGGAATGAAACTCTTCATTTGTACCAAACACGATGAAAGATTAATGCAGCACAACTGCAATTGTTGCCCCAAAAAGCATTAAATATGATTTCAACGTGACATAAATTTAAGAAATTGGCATTTCGCTGGCACACATATTTCATTCAAATTAATATGTTTATAGAGGGCGCTATTTCAAAATATGCAAATAAGCTGGTCATCTATGGCCATGCAACATCACGAAACATTTTTTTAGTGATGGTCTTAGAGAGATACAGACATTTGGCTGCCAAAAATTGTAGAAAAAAACCCTTATTATATATTTATTATTCATTTTTAAAGGAAAATCATGTACTTTGGCGGCCATTTTGTATGACGTCATATATCTTAAATTGCTCAAGGCTGACAGAGTGTCAGCAATCGGATTCTTGAAATAGAAGGTCTAGGCAATCAAAATCCATTGAAAAAAAAACTATAGACCCTAAAACAAGGTTAGGCCAATAATCTGGATTTGGCTGCCGGACTATTACCGATTCAGCTCGCAGTGCAAACACTGCAAACAAAAAAGAAAACAAGGTTATTTAATAAAAGGATCATGTGACAAATAATCATTGTGATTCAAATTGATGCAAGGATTTTTTTTTGAATAAGCAATGCTTTTCACCAGAATCTTCTTTGTAAAAACGACTTTTACAAATCTCAGCCATGCAAATCTGCCACTGTGTTGTAAGATCACTTTCAGATTAGGAGAAGTTTATTCTTTAATGAGTATTTTACATTGAATGGAACGTCTCAACTCAGTAAGCATGGCTGAGATTTGTAAAAGTTGTTTTTACAAAGAAGATTCGGGTGAATAGCAGTGCTTATTCAAACAAATATTCGCATCAATTTGAATCACAATCATTATTTGTCGCTTAATCCCTTTTAATGACCTTGTTTTCTTTCTCGTTTGCAAGGGGAGAAGAAGATATGTCACGTTAAAGACATCATAAAGATCAGTGTTGTATGCGTATTATACACAGGCCAGTAACAGCTATGTAGCTTGTAAATTTGTAAGAGGGAAAATGCTGATTGAAATGATAATGATGAAATAGCAAATAATTGAGGAGTATCATAGGTACCAATTCAATGGATATTTGTATAAAAAAGAGCCCCCGTCAGTACTAAAAGAGCCCCCGTGAGAAGGCTCACGGGCTCTTTTTTGGGGGGAAGAGCCCCCATGGACAAAAAATTAATTTGAACCGTGATCAGCAGCATCAAACTTTTGGTTTAATTCAATGGCAGTATACACTGTAATGTTATACGTAAGTTTTATTATTATTTTAAATTGGGAAACTGAAACTTGTTATTGGTGACATCAGACCCCCCCCCCCCCCCTTCCCTATCATACTTGTACATGTATTGAGGTACATGTGGCAAGAAATGTCCAGACAGGTCTTTTACTGTCTATGTAATTTTGTATCACTGCTGAAATCAATAAACCCTATGTGTGTTGAAAAATACACCTGGCTTTACAATAATATTTGAAGGCCCTTCTCAGAGGTACATCTATAAATCTGTTTTGATGATATTTTCCCCAGCACTGCATGCTCCTGAAACCAGTAGTTAACGGCATATTCTCGTCCAATCAAAACATACATGTACTTGCCATCTGGTCCCATATTATGTTATTTCTGCAGGTCCTGTATACTATACTGTCTCCCTCGTGTAGAGCAATGATTTATTTTACATAAATTTGTCATTAAAGGTACTATGTCCCATTTGCAGGCCAAAAAAATGAAAAAGTTCCAACTGCATTTGAAAGATAATACTTATTTAGAACTTCCCTAAAAAAGGTGGGGCTTGAAAATGTCTTCAAGTGGGAAAATAATGACTATTAGTTGTCAAATCGACTTTAGGGCTATAGAGCCCAAAAGTAATAGTCTTGATTTTCAGACAATTGAACCGAATGGTCATACGTTTTATGCTGCGCAAAGATTCAATCAGTTTAATCTTGGCCATCACAAGAAGTGGGTTATTGATGTAGACAAATGCTCATGTACCCTTTACAACTCTTTTCATGTATGTTATTACCAAAGAAGAAAAAAGGCCAGTCAGTCACTCAATAGTGTCTGACAGTGAAGTCTAGCAAGTAAACGGGTTTCCTTGCATAATTTGAATATGAGGACACTGCTAACGTTTAAATTTCACAGATAGGACATACATGACATATTCATAATTCCTGCAAAGTTCTACAGAATTTGAGGTTGGCTGCAAAAGGGACATACATGTAGTACCTTTAAAGCAAGAACTTACATGTACAGCTTTTGTACGCCACAAAAATACCTGTAAAAGTGAAGCCGGTCAAGCTACACACTATGAAGTTCAGAATGCTACATCTCATTGTACATGGATTACACCTGTACTGGCATTAGACTCACTACCTGTACATCTACATGTAGGCTTCTAATAACTTCTAAGGTTCATTGATAATTGATATGTAACTTCTGCAAGACGTTATGCAGTCTATTTTATTTATTGTATTTGTATATGTATAATGTAGATTATAAAGTGGCCTACATGTACAAGTGATTCATGACTCAAATTGCTTGCCCAGCATTTCCCTGACCAGTGCCACGGAGTTATTGTCCTAATAACTCCATGGACGTTTGATTTCCTGTCTTTTGTGACCTGCTTGGCATCCAAACTTTAATCATATATTTGGAATCCCTGCAATCAAATGAACATGTACCGGTAGGCAAATCCATATACATGTACCTGGAACTGGCGTAGTACAGATGTACACCAGAGTTTGAATTTGACAGCCCCTGATGATTATAAATGTATACATATACCGGTAGTTGGTTTTATAGAGCACTTTTTCGGAGGATACAACGTGTTGAATATTAAACCAAGTAAGTACATGTACATATAGGCCTACATAAGGCCATTAAAAAAAATATACATGTTTAGCGTCCCCGCCCGCTTCCTTTTTGGGGGCCGCCTCCTATTTTTTTTTTTTTTTTTTTTTTTTTTTTTTTTTTTTTTTTTTTGAAAGAAAAAAAACATGAAAAACACTGCTAAAATGGCTCTATTTCTGTTAAAAAAAAAAGAAAATTTAAAATTGTCGGCGGCCATCTTGAAAAAAAATAACCCCGACTGTCAGGGAAAATGCACCGAGCGGCCATTTTGAGCGGCCATTTTGAAAGAAAAAATAAAAAATAAAAAGGGCCTCCTCCTTCCTATTTTTCGAAAAAAACAGGACGCTAAACATGTTTTTTGTTTTTTATTTGGCCTAAGATGAGAGTAACAAGGTGCTCATTGCTTATAGTAGACATGCAGACATGCAGCTCGTCCTAATCTATTTACACCATGGAAGTAGGTCCATGGTTACATGTAGGCCTTCTGTGTACTGCAAATAAACTGGCTGCAAACCTTGCAATGTTATGAATCCACATCTGGTATTCACTGATAGGAAGCTGATTGATTAGCAGTATGGTCACTCTACAGTATATCTTATATGCCACATTATTGACCCTTGCCATGCAGCCATGGAGGGGGTCATATATTCATCCCATGTGTAATATAGGGCAATTACGTTCAACCTGGAGTTGCAACAGATGCAGATTCGGGTGGGGGTGGGGGGCACAATTCCAGAAATTGTGAAAAATTAGGTCATCATATTTTTAAACCAACTATCAGATGAGAAGGCGAATTGTATGAGTATTGACTGTTTTCTTTAAACTCAAGTTAAACTCAATTACATTTATACAAGACGTGTACTGAGAAATCATAATGTACATGTACATGTACCCGAAGACCTAAAGAAATGAAACAAAATTAAATCATTCTTCTCGAATCCTGACATGAGTTTTTCCATTAATGCACAGTAGAGAGTTGCCACACTTTTTAAATTGATTGGCTCATAATAATTGAGGTGCTTCGTGCCACGGTTAATGTACATGTAATTGCAAAAGTTATGTTTTTTTATTAAGTAATTACTGTATGTCATCAATCACACGTTACATTAGATGGAACCAACTCTCTCTGTTATTGATCTACATGTATTTTCATGGATGGAAACTAAATTACTGTAATTTTTGTTCTACACAATGTAAATCTATGTAGTCCCTGATAATTTGTATTGGCGGTCTCCTGCATTTTTTTCTCTTTTGGAATGATTTTTCAACTACATGTTTTTTTGAAAAGGTCTAATTATTTGATTTATTTATGTATTTTGACTGACTGTTTTTCAATTACAGATCGATCAATCGATCTTATTTACTGGGTGTAAGCCACAAATATGTTTAAACTATTGAAATTTCTCCCAGGAAGCATTACATTTATAAAAGGATGTAATTTGTTCTGAAATCTGAATTTTAACTTCCTTCTAATGATTCTGTCTCCCATTTTCTTTTAGATGATTATAACGGGCAAATCACAGTTGGTCTGTGGGTCATCTTTGGAATGGTCCTTTTCTTGTCCATAGAGAAGATCTTTGGTGAAGAAGAAGCAGAAAGTTCATGTCCAAAGGAAGAACAAAATGGCGGTATCAAAACAGCAATAATGCAAAATGGCGATAAGGTATGTATTAGGGTTATCTACTTGTCAAAATTCCAAATTAGACTATAATATGAATGTAACATAATATATGTTAGTTATATACAGTATATACATAGCTGATATTTTTCTTTGAATTTTTGTGATGTAGTGACCAAAATATTGAGTATTATGTAATCAGCATATTGAAATCCCTGTTTGTCTTTGCAAGGAAGAAAAAAAGGGAACACCCATTTGGTAGAAAGCATTCCCAAATATGTACATGCAATGCGATCATACAATACAGTTTCACACGTACAATGTATATAAGGGATAAAGTCAACGTAAACAAGTTTCCTTTGAGAGCCAGGGGAGCATCAACTCTTTTTAAAAGGATATAGGTCAATGCCTTTCTGTTCCCGAGCAGACAATCTATATTATTAATACGCAAAATCGCCGCGGGGGGTCCAAAACGGGGCAAAACGGTTCCTCAAAAACGCCTTTCCCCGACCCCGCTCGCCTCCGCCATGGCGCGGGAACGGTGGCACAATTCCACGAGGCCTGTCTCCCGTAACCCGCGTGCCACCTCGACCCCGCGATCGACGTCCATGCCGTTAAACGCGGTTTCGGGGTGCCGGGGAGGACGGGCGGACGAGAGCACGGCGGGCGTCGTGGATTGCGAGGAGGCGACGAACCCGCGAGAGCGAGTTGACAAGGCGTGCACCCGCCCTCTATCTAATTATCAAAGAGAGACGAAGAGACACACGATGGACGAGAATCCACTCGCGTCAACGGGTGTAGCAAGTCTCATTGTAAAGGCTGCGGCGTATCTTGAGTAAGGCCTCTTGCTATAGGATTCGCTTTGTAGCGTGTAAGAGAAATACACATTAACAGATGACTCACGCGGGTGAGGGGGTGTAAGAAATGCACGCTCTCACGGGTAGGGCTTACCCGTGTTATGCGTCTTTCTATAGGATATGCTTTGTAGGCCAGGCGCCCATAGTATACGTGTATTTCACGCTCACCGTCACACACGTACACACACTCGATTCGAGTCGTGGCGATTGCGACAATTGGCGCAAACCATGGACCTATTTTCGCGTAAAATCTTTACTCTGAAAATAATTATACAAATTCTGTGATCTATGCCAACATATTCATAGTCCAAGCTTCTGTTTTATTGGTCTTTTCATGAAAACTACCTCGAAATAACAACAATAATAACGCAAATAGATCTGTGATAGTACGCCTGACCAATCTGCGATTCATGCACACACACAGAGCAAACAGGATTTCAAATGCCTTCCAGCCCCCAACTCAGGCGTGTCATCACGGCGCTCAAGCCATCGTTTTACGCTGCGCCGCAGTTACTGCACTACACTGTATAGATTTGATTTCCGTATGTTTGATTTCGTTTAGCGTTGGTTATTTGAAACTTTTGAACTCCGAAAGACTGTAAATATGTTAAATAGACTCTTGATGTTGGATTTCTTTTCTACTGACCTGTTAATGAAAGCATGAGGGATAAACAAAAAAAATAAGGACTGCTCTGTAATTGGATGGTGGTGGAAATTATCACTCCCTCGATTTCGTTCAAATACTGGCCCTTCTATTACCCCCTCGGCTTTGCTTCGGGTGATAGAAGGACCGGTATGAACTCCACCTTGGAAATGATAATTTCATCCTCATGAGCAGTCAATATTTGTATATTTTCACTGAGACCTCTGGGACCTCTCTGAAGTTCTTTGTATCATCCATGCAAAATATCATTTTGTTGATAATTTTGTTTAATAGAACATTTAGTTTTAATAATGTATGTTAAGCCAAGTTAAACAATTATTGTTACTCATGTTTTGATTTGGGACAAGTTCTAATTAGAGATGAGTGAAAATATGAAAAATGAGAATGGGAGGATTGAGAACAGTATTCGTAAGAAACTGGACGGGAAATGGATAATGAGAATAAGGATATTTATATACCTCACTTAAGAAATCCAGCCATCTGATTGGTCGAATTGCATTCATAAACTTCAACTGTTCCTGTAAAATTCTCGGTAACCATGCATTTCAATATTTTTAATAACCATGGTTATTAAAAACAGTTGGTCAGCCTCCATGGTTACCCCATAGGTTTACATGTTAAAAAATGGTTTGAGCGATGGAGGATGCCGTATGTGTGCGAAGGATTGGTCGGTAATTTCAATACAATTGAATCTCGATCGATCTTACCGACAATTTTATCTTGCATTGTTGACATGAAGACGAAAATAAACTTCCAAAAACAAAAAAACATCTGCCGATAGATCTTGATCTAAGTTCGTGCCAATATGCATTGCAAAAGTAAAAGAAGAGTCCGTATATGGAGCTTTTGCGAAGCATTCATCACACGCGAAGCCGGTTTCAATCCATTTTAATGTATATATTGGAGAAAACTGCCAAGCATGTTAACGGCGGGCCATGGCCGAGTGGTCTAAGCGTTGGTTTTCGGTACACCTCTTGTTGTACGCAAGAGTTCGAATCCCGTCTTCGACAAAAATGATAAATATTTTTAATTTTTCATTTTTTAGTCTATTTTTTTTCGGCATATAAAAGTATTAATGACTGCTTTAATATTCGAGACATAGTTGTTTTCATACGCTCTCGGGAAGGTTACAATTGGGCTATTCCCCTCGGCAAGCCTCGGGGAATAGCACAATTCTAACCTTCCCTTGAGCGTAATAAAACAACTATTTCTCTCAAAGCAGTCATTAATACTATAATATGGGAATGAATGAAAAACAATAATCATAAATAATGAAAGTGAAAACGAAAGTTAAAGCGTAAAATAGTTTGCATCAGTTTGTTTACAAATTACTTATTTAATTTTTTCTTTCAATCTTCAAGTTTTATTATATGTTACAAATAAAAAAAACATTTCAAAATGATATATGAAACAGCAAACAAAAGGTTAATATTCTATCAAATTAAATATTAATAACAAGAGTAGAAAAAGAATAAAATGATAAAAAGTAGGCCTATACCAAGAGGGAAAATGAAATTGAAAATAAAAGGGGGAACAAAAACAGAAAAACAAACATGAAAATTTAAAAAATCGATAGCACATTATTAACAACCACCCACCCCCTAGAATCCCGTGGATTTTCCACGGGTCCTCCTAGTGCATGTTTATTGTAGGTTTGACATTGAATTGAATTGACAAGGTTTATTGATAACAGTTCAAAGTCACAGCTACTGTACATGGAATTTCCAAATAAAACATATAAAATGTGTGCAAATAGTACAATGTGAAATAGGCAACTATGAAATAAGACATTCACAAGTGAAATTGATATGATAAAAGAAATAAAGAGAAGAAGAAGAAGGAATTTAAAAAATAAGGGAAAAGAAAGAAAGAAAGGAGAAAATATGGTTACTTGTAAAATAGGAGTTTATAATTGATATGTTTATTATTTAAACCAATAATAAGATTCAGTAATAAAACCATTTCTGACCAGATTATTTAGATGACTTTTTGATTAATTAAATATCCTTGTCAGGACTCAGGAATGCATTAAAATAATTTCTATTTAAATAGTGTTTCAACTTTCAAGTGTATAAAACTAATTGGATAGCTATTATGGTAACCCTGTTTGCCAAGTACATGTATAATCAATGAATAGATAACCTGTTGTTCAATTGCCTTCTTTGTGGACAATAGATCAGGATAGAAAGCAGGCACCAATTAATTGTCGTATCATGATTCACTGTGTATCATGAAAGCCTCCTCTAATGACCCATTTCCAGTCTTTATTGCCTACAAATGATTTTCTATCACCTGTTATCATTGGATATAAGCTACTGAATGGTAAATGCTCCTGTACTACATGTACATGTATGTAGTAGTGGTTTTATCGAGATACACATGTATCTGATCAAACACAGCCCTGATTGTTTCTTTAAATAATATGGCACAATTACATGAGGGGTTTGAATTACATATCAAAATTAAACAACAAGATTTAGAGATCCACTTTCATGTTGTTGCACTTCCTTATTACTGTACTGCTTACCGGGGTATATTTTTTTGAAGCCATAGGGGACGCTTTACATGCTCAAATTGGCAACAGCCATCATTTTGTTTACTCTTTATAATGCTTAGGACAGAATACAACGCATTCAGGGAATAAAAATGTGTGAATTGATATAGCATAAGAAACTGTCAATGTGTTTTCCACTATATTTTGCACTCCCTACTAGAAGGGACCGATTCGTGACGCGTTCCCCAAATCTCTGGTAAAGGGGTATTGACTTATGCACACTGGAGATCATGTAGGGGGTGCTTTCAAAGGGAGGGAACATGCATACGAGTACCCCAAGGGACCGGGATTTTGCCAATAATATTATTTTTAATAGCTTTTTTTTGCATATAAAACGTTCTTATTCAAATTTCATCATACATCTGATCAATCTGACGTTAGGCATATTAAAGCTAAAATAAACAGAACTTCCAGTGGACCTTGATTCAATCAGTTTAGTGCAATCCAATATAGACAAGCGTGTTTGGCTTGAGCAAACATAGCTCCCTCAGCTTTGGGATTTAACCTTTTAATTGTAAGCTCTTTATGGTAGTTATCTCCTGATTCGAATGCACCAGGTGATGACAAATTGAGCTCTCAAAAGTTTGGAAATTTTGAAAAGCTTTTTTTTTTTTTTTTTACTTTCCTTGCAAAATATTTAATTTTAATGCAGCTTGATCAGTTTCTTTCATTTTTCTGCATTCATTAAAACCAAGTAGTCATGAAGGTGGACCTCAAAACCATGGGTGGTATATTTACTTTAGAGTCTACATTGACATGTACATATATGTACCAATTAGGGGTATATGCATTGTGGTAACGAAATAAACAATATTAGGATAACCACCAGGTGGGCGTATTGATATACAGGTGTTGTATGTGTGTGGTGACTTTGACAATGGCAATTCACACTTACAGAGAAAATTCTCTTTCAAGTTTGCGCATTATATTATTGTTGATTTCATATTTGCTTAAATCAAAGGGAAAACCCCTTTTCATCCACATTACATCATAAGCATTGTTAGCTTTGAGAGAAGCCTTAAATCAGACTTTAATGATATACCGATACATTTGTGTACCGGTACATACAGTACATACATGTATGTAGATTATGCTTTCTTTTTTTTTATGCCAAAATTAATTTTGTTTTGTCTGTACAGACATAATGAAATCTGCTTTCATTAAACACATCGCTTCCATGCTTGCAATATCCAAGTGAAAAAAAATCCTCATGAATATTTGTACTGACTTTGACTTTGTACAGTTCTTCAAGTTCATGTTATGCATTTTTGTTTCAATATTTGAGTACTGACCTGAACCAAAGATAGTGAGCCAAAAGAGTATTATCAACAGCCTTTGGTCATATATAAATATTTTGCAAACAAGTATTTGTTTGTGCCACATCTATTATTGCTGTGTTATATCTTTTTAAATGTACTATGGAATTTAATTTTTATCTCTTCTGTATATAAACGTTATGCTTTTTGATGTAAATATGTTTATTATTATTCAGGGCCTCATGGAAGACCACTACTTATTGGTTAATGGGCTACCCTGTCAAAAAATTAGAAATAAATGAATAAATATAAGTTTGTGTATGTATGTGTGTCTCTACATGATAATTATTTGATATAAAATGCACAGATGGTAAGGTGTTTTTTTTGCATTTACTTTCTATATAGTTCACTGGTATACAACTATACATACAATGTACATTGTAGTCGTTATCTCCATTTCAGGCTACAAATATAGCTATCTGTCTTATCTGCTTGTTTGATAAAAGTAAAGATTGTGAGTGAAAATATACAAAGATATGTACTGTACCTACTGTACCTAGATATGTTCGATGCACAGATGTGGAGGAATGTAAATCCACTTCTGTCATACAAATTTTCCTGAATATAGAAGAAAAAAGGAGGATTACATTGAAGTCTTTGAAATGTTTGAAGACTACATCACTACATACTGTACATTGTACATGTACTGTACATGTACATGTAGATACAAAAATATATACAACATATCTGCTCAATGTGTACATTTTTGCATGCTTCATGAAAATTGTTTCCCGAGCTCTTGACTTATACCAATTCAGTTATGTTCCTGTAAAGCTTGCATGTGATGTAGTACTTACATTACTAGACATAAATATGATGAATATGATGACAAATACAATGGAGCTCTTCATATTTACACAGCGGTCAAATAATGACAGGTAAAAACACAAGCATTAATAAAAAATCCTGGGGAATTTACCTTTCAATATTGTGTGATGATCTTTGGGTGATATTTACAATGCAATTTACATAACACGTTTGTTTTTCAATGCAACATCAATAAAAGAGAATATGGGGAACTTGGGTGCAAAAAATCCACCTTACTGCCTGTTTTATTATATTCAATTTTCTGAGATGGAATTGTGTATAGATTATGTTTGTAGTATAAACATTGGCCAACTTGTAGTCATGCACAGACACAGGAAAAGTTAAATTTGCTATTTTAGGATTTTATGTCTTGTCAGGTATTTGATTTTTACATTCTTTCTTGCATTTATTAAAATCAACCATAACATTCACCTCTACATGTACATGTATATGTGTGTCTTCATATGAGGAACATACATTTGTTATTACTTTTCTTGTAAAATTTTAAATGATCAATTTCAAATGACATCATGTACATACATGTATTTATTAGACAGCATGTGAATAGCATCATGACATACATATATATCCATGACAATTTATATCCATTTTGTACATGAAATCAATAGGACTTGATCATTTTTTCTTTTAAAGGGAAATCCAACCTTACTCTTAACTACTCTAAAAGCAAGCAGGAAAAGAAAGTTTTTAAAAAACGGACAAAGATGAAAAGGTTATGATGTTTCTTAAAGATGTAATCACTATACATTTGTACATATGGGCTCTTCAAATTGGCTGAATCACAGTGCCACTCTGACAAAGTGCCAGACAACTTTCCCATTTGTTCCTACACAAAATGACTACCGTAAAACATATAATTTTTTGAAAATGTATGACTCAGGAGGGTATACATGTATGCTACCCACAATGAGACATGCCCAAAAAAGAGGTGTGCTTATAGGAGAAAAACAGAAATTTATGTTTTTGTACACAACAATCAGGAGAGTAGTCCGTGAATATGTCACAATCCAGTGACCAACTTGCCAATTTGCGATTAGCATAGATTTGGTGATCTCAAGTTTCAAACACTCATAACTTTCTTATTATTGATCCCATTTATTTCAAACTTTTACCATTCTGTTTCTCGTATTTATTTTTTGTGATTTCATGAAAATGAAATTATAACATGGGTTGCATCGCCCTTTAATTACTCTCATTCCAGGCGACTATCCTCAATGGCGCCCCCTCAACCATTGCAAACGGAGAGAAGTCCCACCACCGTCCTCTCAACGGCTTCGACAAAAATGGCATGTTACGGAGGAAACCATTGAATGGGAACTCCTGTAATATCGGAAGGTCAGAGGAAATGAATGGAGTTAACAGTTTGGGGCACACCAATGGAGGCCACAAGGTGATCCAGTCATTGATGGAGGATCAAAGCAAGGATACCAAGGAAAAGAAAGTGAAGGTATACATGCAAAGTTGTTTTAGTTTTGTGGGATACGGGAGGAAATGGATAAAAGATGAAGGCTTTGTTGTGGTTTGACCCATCAAAATATGGTAGCACTTACATGTACATATACATTATACATGTATGAATGTGTGAATCACATCAATTGTCAATCCTTTATGTACCCCCCCCCCCCCTCCCCCCTCCTTTCAGATAAGCAAAACTGATTGGACAAGTAAATTTGCAGGATGTACATGTACAATGTATCTACAATGTATACAAAGAAACTGTGTAGCTACAACGTAGGCCTACATGTGTGATAAGCATCTGATGATTAAGTGATTCATTTTATAGTCTGAATGTTAGATAACAAAGTTACTTTCCTTCCTTCCTTTACAACCAGTCATAATTTCTGTGTGAATGTGCTTAGATTGCTTTAAATATTTACTTACATGTACCTAGCCTGTTGGAAGTACATGTATATATAATTGTTACTAAGAATTCATGCTGTGTTAAAAATATTCATATTGTAAAAACATTAAGCTGGAAAGTACTATGAGTTCCTTATTTAAAAAAGCTATCAAGTATATGCAAAATGATATCAGATACTTAAAATGATTGAATTACTGTTTTCTTTTACTTTCTTTCAGCTTTGATTTTATCCTCAAAATTACTGGTAGATAATAAATTTACATTCAATCGAATTGCTGAAATTTGAGACTGCCGGTATCTTTATTCTTTTGATGATTAACTTGCAATCTGAAATTTGTAGTTGTAGGATTACACATGAAATTTGATTTTTATGGCTCACTTTCTTTCATATTTGTTTTCATTTTCTTGTATCAGGTCGTAGGATATCTGAACCTGTTAGCTAATTTCATTGATAATTTTACTCATGGCATAGCTGTGGCTGGGAGCTTCCTTGTTAGCAAAAAGGTGAGTTTTTAAAATTGCACTGTTCATATACAAAGATATATTATATTGAGGGTTCGGTGACACAAAGACATAACTCAATATTTTGTCAAAATGAGTATTTGATATCAAAATGTTCAGAAAACTGTGGGCTTTCCAGGAAACACAAAGACTTAACTCCACCCAACATCCCATTGAAGTCAATAGCGAGTAAACTTAACTCAGGTGCTCAGTGACACATAACCACTTTTTCTCAAAATGGCCAAAATGGAGTTACGTCTTTGAATCACTGACCCCTCGATATGTGTGTAAGAAATGACTGTATTGATTGATAACAACTAACATGTACATTGTGAGACCTTTAAAGGTATCAAACAAAAGTTTGTCATACACTGAGTTTGGTGTTGTGACAGTTCTTTAAATAAAACTCTTGAAACTTGAAATTTGAAAATGGTTTTTATTCTTAATGAATGAGGATAATACTATCTTTTTTTAATCGTCTCCTAATTCATAATCAGAACATAACAACATAAGCTTTTTTATTCTTGATGAATGAGGATAATACTATCTTTTTTAATCGTCTCATTCATAATCAAAACATAACAACATAAGCTCTTTAATTCTTGATGAATGAGGATAATACTCTCTTGTTAATCATCTCCTAATTCAGAATTAAAACATAAAAACATGAAGCTTTTTAATTCTTGATGAATGAGGATAATACTTTCTTTTTTAATCATCTCCTACTTCAGAATCAGAACATAACAACTTAAGCTTTTTAATTCTTGAAGAATGAGGATGATTATGATACTTTTTTGTTGATCATCTCCTAATTCAGAATCAAAACATAAAAACATGAAGCTTTGAACCACACACCTGTCATTTCACAAATGTTGGAAATAGCTTTAAGAATTGTCACTGACACTGGACAGGAAGGAAGGTGTGTGGTGGAATAGCAGATGTCAAACTTCCTGAATAGAATGTACACATTATACACTCTATCCTTTGTGAAAAAGTGTTTATTCCGATTGCAAAGCAACAATTTGAGAAAAGTATGTAAAAAAAGTTTCCTTGAACTTATTCCAAGAAAATTAACAACATTTATTGACTATGTGTGAACTTTATCCTGATACAGGTTGTGCTTTTTAGCTTACCAAATTTTAAGTTACCAGTATAAACCGTAAATTACTAAAGATCCCTTTTTGTTTATATGCACAAATTCAGTGTTGCAGTGTGAAGCTTGTGTGGATTTGGGTTACATGTACAGTCAAACCTGCTTTAGTGACCACCTGTCTACAAAGACCACTTTTTTTTGTCTCCCTTGAAAAAGGTTTCTCATTGTAACGTACTATTAAAGGAACCTGTACATAAAGCCCACCTGCCTATGAAGACCACTTTTCTTGTCTCTCTTTGTTTCTCTGGTGTGGTTTTTATAGACAGGTTTCACTGTACTTGCATAATGGCAAAAATTTCATGCATGGGCAAGGTTTTAGTTTCACAGTACTTCTTTGACAAGATGCTGATCTACTCTGCCACTGGTTTAATACCATAATAATGAAATTGAATTCTAGCAGGATGTGAGAAAGCATTGTGAAATAAATTGTTAATGGGACTTAAAACATCGCCCAGACAAAGGCGATGATGATGGCCTTGCCTTGAACGTTTCCACTTCCTCATTTTGCAGAATTTGCAATGAAAATCAATTTCATTGTTTTACATAATTTAGATCACCACTCTCTCTCTCTATCTCTCTCTCTCTCTCTCTCTCTCTCTCTCTCTCTCTCTCTCTTTCTGTACTTCTCTCTATGTTTTTTCTATAAATATCTATTGTATATCAACCCTTTGATACCTAATGGTTATTCTGTCTGCAATTATTTAACAGGTTGGAATGCTTACAACGGCAGCCATTTTGTTACATGAAGTTCCCCATGAGGTAAGAGTGCATTTTCTTCTTTTTAATGATTGTTTTACTCCCGATATTAGATTTAAGATATTGGAGATATTGAAGACTCCATCATCTGATCTGCATAAAGATCTCATACTAAAAAAATAACATTTCTCTTGGTGTTTTAAGAATGCAAGATTGTGCATAAAGGGGGGGGGGCACATGCCTGTTGTGCCTCCTTTGAGTATGCCAGTGCCCTGTACCTTAATTTATTTCTTTTCTTTTCTTTTCTTTCTTTCAACAAAAAAAATAATTAAATACTTGATGTTTTATCACTGTTTAAGTGGTTCACGCTTTCAAATGAAAATTTCTGAAAGACGGAAGATTTAAATTCCTATTTACATTTACTAAGGGTTTGCATTTGATTACTGCCCCATGGTGATCTTGATGGGGGGGGGGGGGGGAGGTTTACAGACAGGTTGGGGACTTTGCTATTCTATTGAGATCAAGATTCTCCAGAATGCAGGCAACAAAGTCCCAGATATTTTTTGTTTTTAAAGCACTTTTAAAAGTAATGTTTTCTTGAAAGATATGAGACATTTGATTTGAATACAAACATACTAAGGGTTTTTATTTGAGTACTGTTTTGCCCCATGGTGATCTTGATGTGTTTCCTTTGTACCAACAGGTTGGAGACTTTGCTATCCTCCTGCGATCAGGATTCTCCAGAACTCAGGCAACTAAATCCCAGATCTCGACGGCCGTGGGAGGTCTCCTTGGTGCAGTGCTTACTCTCCTCTCAGAATCGGCTCAAGAAACAGGTCAGTGAGAAAGACCAGAACTAAACAAAGGCGTTTAGTTGAAAACACGGTTGGGTTCAAGCAATTTTTTTATCAGTCGTAAAAAAAAAATGTGTTTAAAAACACAAACATGAAACGCTGAAAAAGATGCTTTTTGTAATTAAATTCGCTTGAACAAACAGAGCCTGCTCAGGTTTGACCATAGTAGGTCCATGGTTTGACCGACAATCGACCGTAAACACAGACGGAAAGCATGCGGCAAAGTTGACCTATACTTCCTGGGTCAAACTGCGCAGTGTGATGAGCAGTGGCTGGGCTTGAAATGAGCAAGAATCAGCATTGATGAAAAATCGCTTGAACGCTCTCCCGCAGTAACCGTGTTTTTAACGGCGTTTTGATTTGTGATTCATGTTTGTGATTCTAGCTTTAAAAAATTGCTTGAATGCACCCTTAGCCTCATTCATACAAGACGTGATAAACTGCCTCATAAATAGCTGCAGCAAAATGATTTTTTTTTTTTAATGTATACCTAATAGAAGTTTGGTTGAAAAAGAAGTAGCAATGTGCTACAAAGGTTTTTAAGTTGGCATAGCGAAATGTGGCACATAAAGACACGTCCATAACACAGTGAATAATAGTTTGTGATGTTTGTTTGAATTTTAGTAAACTACAGGCCAAAGAATTAGTGATAACCATGTTCCACCATACAATCCTGTATACTATTGAAACCATGTGGAGCTGGAATAGATTGCAGAGATTCACGGCTAAAATTGTATACTGTTTATCTCTGTACTATGTGTATGTTGTTGTTGTTTTCTTTGTAGGTGACCGTGCTGCCTGGATTCTTCCATTCACTGCCGGGGGTTTTATTCACATTGCTCTAGCTACTGTTCTTCCGGAAATTCTTCAAGAGACAAGTTGGAAGTAAGTTTAAGGCATCATTTAACAATGTTAAATCTGAGATGCATGGCCCTACGTGTTATCAGTGTCTGTGTTATGGTGTAATATTGAAGCCCTAAACAAATTTCGCTTCATACTGAACATGAAATGACTCAAATAAGTGAAAATCTTTGAGTGACCGGTTTTACCACACTCATTTTCCCCAATGGATTGTATTCTTATAAAAACCGTTAGGAAAACAAAAACGAAAAATGAAATTTTGATTTTCAATCATAAATATCTTGATAATCAGACAGGCGATCTGCTGGTAAAAATCATGGGATTCCTGACTCACCTAAAGGTTGATTGCAGCATGAGCTAAATCCAGGATTTTGTTTCAGAATCTGAGGCAATGTTAACGAGTCACTTTAAACACTTTGCTATTATCCAGAAGGGCATTAAATTGTATCACTGTACATACGTTCAATGATCTTCTGCCTCATAGCAGCCAGTTTTTCCAAGATTCGCTCTTTTGGCATGTGATCTTGGCTCTATTTAGTCAAAGATTCAGGCTTAGGGTTGCAATAAAGTTTTTGCGGCTGCTTTAAAGCCCCACTGCACTACTCATAGCTACTTCTATAGCTACCTCTATATAGCAAACAATGCCTTATCAGTGACCATTGGTCCCCCATGGTTCCCTTTTTTTGTGTTAATTTAGAGCTGATTCGATGAGATAACCACCTGTCAGTGACCATGCAGGGAGGTTCAATCCCTCCAGACCAAAATAGTGCAGATAGGCTTTAATGATCCTCCAATTTTGAAAATTCATGGGAAAAAAAATCAGGAAGGTTGGTTTATGAAACGCCTAGAACCCTGTCTGTTCATAAAGGAATGGCAATTATACAACAGATTTTTGTTGACTTTCATGTATCATGTGTACATGTATTCTCTGTGATTTGTGTCTTTATATCAGAGAGTCTATGAAACAGATGACATGTTTGTTGTGTGGCATAAAGGAATAGCAATTTTGGGCAATACAACAGCTTTTTGTTGAATTCTGTGTATCATGGGCATTCTCTGTGATTTGTTTGTCTTTATTCCAGAGAGTCTATGAAACAGATGACGTGTCTGTTGTGCGGTATAGCTGTAATGGGTGCAGTGACCGTCTTGATAGAGTAACTTTCTGGTAAGTTCAAGTCTAGCGATGATATGTAGATAAGTTGTAAGTTGATCCTTTTGTTGAACATGGCCAGCACTTATACATGTATTATTGAAGGAAACAATTTAATTTGTTGGACACACCCATAGTATCTTATTATAGGGGGGGGGGGGGTAGTTATGAATCTTCTATAAACTTTGACTGTATCCTGGGGCATCGCTACCCCATTCTTTCCTTTTTGTTAAGGGGGGGGGGGACATGTAAACTGACTAACACATTTTCAGTTGTGCACTCTCCCCCAACCCTCCAGCTTACGAGTATATATTTTCACTATTCTTGTCAATGGACCTAAGCAAGTGCTGACGACTTGAAACTTAGTATAATTTCTCAGACAGGAAATAATAGGGGAGATGATGCCACATGTCCACTCATGACACACCCCACTCGGTGACATTCCTGTTGTTATCAAACGTTAGACTTCCTGTTTTAATTTTGAGTTTGAGCTTCGACTCATCAGCTTCTAGCTTAATCCTGAAATACATGTACATGTACATATAATATAGTGGTAACTTACTTCTCGTTATTTTAATTAGATGTTAATTATGTATTACATACCACAGAGGAAGATTCTGAGCACCAGATTGTTCAAAATTGCAAGTATGAAATTTGCTTCTGACTGCTGGGCAGTATAGCAAAAAAATATTGACTGGGCATAGTTCTCCTTGCAGTCTCCAAAGCAGTCAATATAATATGTATATCATAACACAGATGTTACCTGAAATCACTAATCCCCTATTCATCAGTGCAAAGATAATCAGGACCATCTGTTCATGTGGGTACGATAGTGACTTCAGACAAGCATGATTGTCACAATTGCATTTCTCAATTCTCTTTTTATTTCATTAGATATAGAATAATACATTTCCTGCCTGGGAGCTTCAACCAAGTTATACTGGAGCCATGCTGTGTGATTCCGCACCTTCACAAAAAACACCATCTGGAGTACAAGCGAAGCTACTACGGTAGCAGATATTTTTTGCACTTTTCCTGCCAAGGAAAAAATTTGCGTTGAAAACGCCTTATTTTGCCCATTCATTCATATTCTTCCTATTCATCATGCTCTTCGGAACAAAGATTGCCAATAAGTTCACCGATTCAAAATTTTATAACCAGAGTCCAAGGAATTGCTGAAATTTCATATTTTTGTACACCAATTATGAAGCAAAGTCAATTAAAATTACTTAAAATGCTTTGAACTGCCGCAGTATCCTACTGAAAAATAGACTAACAAAAGACACAGAAAGAGTTTCTGTCTACATGGACCTATGTTATGATTTAAACAAGGCAATTGTGCCATCAATTAAAGGAAATTTAGTTCAATGATCAATTTTTCTATTCTTAATGTACCTCTGAAATAAAAATGTCTTATAATTTCAAGTACTGAAGTAAACTCTTGGATAAAGGTAAATTAATCATGTATTTTAATCAAGTAGGCAACGTGATATCACAACATCTCAGTTCAAAATATATTTCTTATTTTTTTATTTTGCTTTGTCTCATCCTTTCAAGTACTGAAGTAAACCCTTGGGTAAAGGTAAATTAATCGCATATTTTAATCAAGTAGGCAACGTGATATCACAACATGTCAGTTCAAAATATTTTTCTTATTTAACTTTTTGTAAATTGATTATTTATATTTTGTGAGGTAGAGTAAAGAAGAGATGTTCAGCCATCATCTCTTTCGATTTCATTTTTTTACTACATGTAATTTATAATCGTATTTGTTTATGATAAAGTTATACATGTACTTGCCAGGAAATTTACATACATAACACTGTATGTATTCAAGATTAACAGAGATCATTAAGCAAGATAATTTTTTTTTTTAAATAGAAGATTGCTGTATCTAAGCAACCACTTACAACAAATTTAGGTGATTTTTGTCTCGCCTGCGTAGCAAAAAGCGAGACATAGGCACCGCTTTTCCGGTAACGGCGGCGACGGTGGCGGCGTCAACATCAAAAACTTAACCTAAGGTTAAGTTTTTGAATTTTTGATATTATTTTGAAAGTATAAGTTCTTAGTCAATGAAACTTGGACTATAGGGTTATCAAGTATCCCCAATCATTCGAGTTGAATTTCAGGTCACTTGGTTAAGGTCAAAAGTCATTTTAGGTCAACAAACTTAGACTTTGTTGTGGCATTAACATCAAGATTTTGAATTTTGAGCATATTTTCAAAAGTGTTTGTTCAAATTCCATGAAACTTGTACCCAAGGTTTAACAAGTATCACAAATCATATGACACAACTTCCAAGTCACAAGGTCAAAGGTCATTTTAGGTCAGTAGACTTGGATTATGATCTTACAACTTAATATGAGAATTCAATTTTTGTTATTTGTGTTTATATTTTATTGAAGTTATCGATCTTGGTACAAATAATAGTAAATAATTCTTCTGATGATTCTTAGTCAATATTCACTTCAAAATGTTGATTATATTCAAAGGATTTCATTTTTGGGGGCCTGCTAATGGGCCACCCTGCCTATAAATAATTTCCCAACCTCAATTTTTCATCATAACAAATTGCGTAATGCAGGTGAGACCGCCGAAAGCGTTTCCCTTGTTTTTTTTAAGCCTGTGTATGTATAGAACCAATCATGTTGCCATGGTAACTGTGTCATTGAATCAAATCACATAATAAGATTTTGATCATTCTCAATTTTCAAAAGTAGCTCTTGGTTCGTTATCAGAATTTTGTTCTTATATTCAGGGTTTTTACTTGTTATGGGTCTGAGATCTGAGGTATTCCTCAATGCATGACATTATTTGATATTTTGTATTTAACTGGATAAATATTTTTAACTTTGGATATTATATACAAGCAATTATGTAAACGGTTACATGGGCTGCCAGATAACTTTTATTTAAATTATGAATATTTATTTGGATATTATTGAATATGAAAACATGAACGGTTAAGGGCATTGATTATGACATTGAGGTATTTTGAGACAAAATTTACAATAACAGTGAAATTGATAAGCCTCAGTTAGTCTGCTGTGAGTAATCTGTTGGATGATAATCTTTAGTTAGAAATTTGTTGTGTCAACAAAGATTTATTTTTCTACAGGTCCATAAAATCAATAATGTGAACTTGTCGTGGATGTTAAAATGTACAATGTAAGCCTTAGCTGATGAAGTTAATCATGGAAAGATGACTTGATGCACAGAATTAATTACATCTCATTTAGATTTTACTGTTATCAGATTCAAAATAATAATAATGTGTAAATACATATTGATAAAAACAGGGTGCTATTGAGCTTTTTATGTGTACTTGCCAAGTTTGGCAAAAAATATGGTTTACGATTAGGTCATTATTTATTTCCAGCTAAACTTTAAAAATACAGAGAGTACATTTTAAAGATAATGTATATATTCTCTGAGTGAATCTGTTTAAGCCCCGCACAAAATGTGATGTGTTAAATAGTAACAAAGTCTGGCAAGATTTGAGCCAGTGATGTGGACAAATGTGACGTATTTAGGTTAGAATTTAATTTGTGTTTCGATTTGATTTACATGTTTTCACGACTTATTGTGGTACTTGGACCTTTATTTCTGACAAACGTCAAAATTTAGATCCTAATCTGATTTAATTTCAGTTTTGTATTACAAATTTGAATTGTGTAAATCTTGTGTACAAAATCAAGTACGTTTTTGTTGTTGTACAGTTTCTCTATACCTGAATTTAATACAGGCTGACTCGTGATAAATGCTATGAGGAGATGTAACACATTTGCTTTTATTATTTGTTTTCTTATGATTTTAGAATTGTTCAGTACTTTGTTGAATTTGACCCTCTGTAAATTATACTTGCCTAACTAAATGAACTGCTTGCCCCCGACAATAGAGTTAGATTTATCTAGAAAGCTGAATGAACATGATATTTGTGTATTCATCAGAAGAGCGTTTGCATAATCTTTTGATCAGATTATGAAGCGTTTAAGTTTTGATGCTGGAAAGCAGAAGGGTGAATAGAAAAAGAAAAGACAATAATGGATAGCATCCCCCCCCCTCGAAAAATGAAATTTGTAATGTGGAGTCCTTGCTTCCAGTGTTCACAAGTCACACAGTTTTGATTCTTTATCTACTTAATTTGCTCAATTTTCTAAAAGAAACTATATACCACTCTCAACAAATAACGTCTTCTTTAAAATACATGTTTTATCGTTAAGAGATGAATATTTTTATGGACTTGAATTGTTATATCCTGCCTCTACAAGTGCCTATCTATATGTTGTGCTTTTCTACTTCGGTGAATAACGAGAGAACTAATATTTCATGTAAAGTATCATGTCAAATGTAATTATGTTTATACAAATATTTTTGTACACACTGCCCAAAGGTGGCATGGATAGTACTGGTGTATGGGTCTTCTAAATTGCTCAATAAATTTGGATTTTGCCTTAAAAATCCCTTTGTTAAAAGTCATGTAATATTCTTTTCTGATTAAAAAAATAAAAGGACTTATTGAACTAACAGATACACTGTATGCATGAGTTTGGTTTATTCATTTTCAAATTGTTTTTAATAATTGATGTTTTTGTATACATGTACATATTTTTCATGTCTACAATGTTATACCTGATTAATGATTTTATTTGTGTGTTTGTTTATACCAGAGTGAGGGTTTAGAGTCATTTTTAAATCATTCCTAAGTAATTTCAATTATTTCTCTGGACACCATTCTTGTCTGGAGTTGATTTAGAAATTATGCTCCGACCCACTCTCTCTCTCTCTCTCTCTATTTCTCTCTCTCTCTTTCTCTCTCGCTTTTCTCTCCTCTTCCTCTTTCTCTCTCTTCCTCTTTGTCGCTCTTCCATCTCCTCCATCTTCCTATCTTTCACATTCCTTGTTCATGTGCACCTCTTGTCTTAAAGATGAAAGTCAGAATACAATTGCACCTTTTTTGAAGATCGGTCGTTAATCTACAGATCCGTTTAATTTATGCTTTACTTTTAACACTCTCTCATTTAATACTTCGCGTTCCAACGATAATATTTGTGTTATTATGTGACAAAAAAGCCAGATGGTTATTGCTTGCAGTATGTGTCCTTGTCATTGGTTGAGAGATAGAATGACCCCGTGGCTGTGCTCTGGTCAGCGTTGTACCCCATTTCCGGGCATCCGGCTAGCCCGCAGCGGTTGCATAGACCGGTTTGGTACTGGTTCCAGGTCTCGCACGGATAGGCGGTGAAAGCGCAACCGGTCGATCGGATACTCTCCTCGAAATAGTAGACGGATCGGAAGTGATCGCATGCGATCTCAAGTAGGGGACATCCGGGCATGTCGTCGCCTCCATTCGGGTAGAAATCGACGTGACCGACCTGTTTGAAAAAAACAAATTACTAAATTATTATAGTTATACCCAAGACAGACTGATGAGACCAACATCATTGCCGGCATCATTGAATGAGTTAAAAATTGATTCTAATTATATTCGTTGCTTAGACTATACTTCCATATTGTTTAAAATTGGATGTTCATACTTGTAGAATACAATGTAAATGTATTCATTTCGAAATCATCCCCAAGAACAAATTCTCCAATAGCCTTGATCACTTTTCTTATCGAGCTACCATATCAATATTACATGATGCATCCTGCATGCAGCTGCACAACTTACCGGTTCGAGGATACCCATTCCCAAGACTCTGTTAGTATCCGTGTGAATGTTATCAACGAAGAGGGCGTCAGACGGATCCAATCTGCACTCTTGATCAACCCCTCGGAAAGCAGGACCAGCTGGATCTAGACCTGAGAACGTGAAAAAAATACCCATTGCAACTATGCGTCATTTTCGATTGCGTTATTAGGAAAGCAATTATTCAAACGCCGTGTATTGCAATATTTTTTTCGCATCCGTCTTTTGTAGGCCTATATTGTCACTCTCAAACGCAGCGTCAAAGCCCGTGAAGACTGCGCTATTAACTGTCGCAGCCATACGTCAATCAATGACACTGCGTGTGCAATGGGCTTAATAATGAGGGGTTTGGGAGACGGAAGACTTTCGGTGTGTTCATAAGGATATCAAGAAAGGAGATGAAAACGCCGGGAAATAGGTGGTGTGGGATGTACTTGTACATGTATTTTTAAAATCGGACTAAATTATCTAACTCGCTCTTTTTAGCAGGCCTAGGCCTATATTTCTCTCATATTATTTCATGAAGATATTCACTACCGAAATATTAACAATATTACAGAAAAAGAATATATATTTACCAGCCAAGCTAGCACTTTAAATAATTGGTAAATAATTGTTACCATATATTCATACTGATAGAGAACTTACAGTAAGGGTGAAAAGCATATCGAGCAACGACGCCAACTTTTTCGATTCTTTTTATTTTTCTCCTTCTTTTGCCTAAATCAAAGTTTGGAATGTATTATGTAGAATTGTATATTTTTTCCAAGTTATCATAATTTAATTATTTTCAAATTAGTCAGATGAGCGTAGTTATTCTGCAGTATACTGATATGCAGTGGCGTACCTGGGGTACTCCGTCAGGGGGGGGGCAAGCGACCGAAACAAACAAAAAAGGCGATGCTAATTTTCACTTCTGGCGAGCGAGCGAGCAAAAAAAAATCTTTAAGTAACGTTTGGTATATAAACTGGTATTGTTGCAAGTTGGGGGTGGGAACATTCACTTGTTAGCGACGTTAATTTCATTTTTTTTTTCATCACTTCTTTTTTAATAATTGCCACTTAAACTTGGTTCAATTGTCCCATGCAGGGTGCGGGAACAATATTGTGTTTAGGTTGATTTTATACCCATTTTAGCTAGCGAGCCAAAATACATCTTTCTCTCAATGAATTGCTATATAAAATTCGTTTCATTGTTGCAGGTCGGGGTCGGGCACAATCGTGTTTAAGACAATGTCAATCCCATTTTGGCGGACAGGCAACCCTCTACATTTCTCGTTTTAATGATATTGTAGCAGGTTAGTGGTGGGCACATAATTCCACGAGCTAGCGAGCGTAGCGAGCGACCGAAAAAAAATCACTTCTCTTTAATAGCGAAAATATGGTACATAAAACTTGGGTTCATTGTTCCATGTCAGGGACGTGATTATTAAAAGCGGTGTTATTTCTAATTTGGCGAGCGAGCGAAAAAAATCACTTCTCTTTTATAGGGAAAATATGGTACATAAACTTGGGTTCATTGTTCCATGTCAGGGACGTGATTATTATAAGCGGTGTTATTTCTATTTTGGCGAGCGAGCGTAGCGAGCGAGCAAAATTTTTGTAATGATAATTGGTTCATAAATTTCATATTTTCTTGTTGCAGGGCAGGGCTTACACAATCACGTCTAAGGTGATGTTAATTCCGTTTTGGCGAGCACGAGCACACCAAAACTTCTTTGAATAACGTTTGGTACATAATTATTAACTGGTTGTTGCAGGTTGGGGCGGGCACGTTAGCGGTGTCAATTCCATTTTGGCGAGCGAGCATAGCGAGCAAGCAAAAAACAAAATTCTCTTTTAATAGAAATTAATAAATAAACTTGTTTTTATTGGTGCAGGTCAGGATGGACGCAATCGCGTTTAACGCGATTCAATTCCTTTTTGGCGAGAGGGCGAAAAAACTCTTCCATTTTTAATGATATTGTTGCAGGTCAAGGGTGGGCACAATTGTTTCCAAAGGCAATATCTATTCATTTTATTCGCGAGCAAGTGTAGCGAGCGAGAAAAATGAATTACTCTCTTTTAGTAACATTTGGTACATACACTGTGTGTTATTGTTGCCATGGTTGCAGGTCGGGGCCCGTCGGGGCAGGCACAATTGTATTCTAGGCAATGCTAATCCTTTTCTTTTTTCAGGGGGACGAGCCAGTGAAAACATTTAATACAAAATAGGCTAGCAAGCAGTTCGCGCCAGCGAAGAGTTTCGAATTTGTTATATCACTTATATTTTCCTATTTTCATTTGTCTTAATTTTTCAGGGCCGTATGCGGAATATTTTTCTGGTGGGAGAGGGGGAAAGATGCGTTAAAAGTTTTCGAAGAATCTCAAAAGCAAAAGGAGTGAAGGGAGTTCGAGCGACCGAACTGGTCATGAGGGTACTTTTGCATTTTCAAAAGTAGAATTGAAGGATTTGGTATAGGCCTACACTACATTTTCAGGAAAAAAACTGTACGTTTTCAAAATATCTGGGGTCAACTGCCCCCCCCCCCCCTGGTGCGTACGGCCATGGTCTTTTTTTTAATTAATTTCCCCATTTTTTTCCTTTCCTTTTCTTTTCCCTTTTTCTTCCTTTTCTCTTCTTCCTTTTTTCTTTCCTTTTTCTCTTTTTCCTTTTTTCTCTTTTTTTCCTTTTTTTCTTCCCTTTTCTTTTTTTCTTTTTCTTTCCTTTCCTTTCTTTTCTTTTCTTTCCCCTTTTTCTTTTTTTCCCCTGGAGCCCGTCAGGGGGGGCACTCTGCCCCCCCCCTGCCCCCCCCCCCATAATAGGTACGCCAGTGCTGATATGACGTAAACGTCATTATCTGATAATACTTATTATCCTTGATTAGGTCGATAAATAGATATTTAGTGATTACCGGTAATGCGACCAAATCCAGCTTGGAAGGCCCCCGCATAGCCAGCTGTGTGTGCTCCCAGGCTATGCCCGATCAGATGCATGTCACCGTACACAGCACCATGTACTCTAAAAGAATGACAAATTGTAATAATTATTATGTCACAACGTTGTAATTAAGATCAATATTGTGGTTCAGACTTGTTCATGTTAAAGGTACTATGTCCCATTTGCAGGACAAAAAAATGAAAAAGTTAAATTCCAACTGCATTTGAAAGATAATACTAATTTAGAACTTCCCTAAAAAAGGTGGGGCTTGAAAATGTCTTCAAGTGGGGAAATAACGACTATTAGTTGTCAAATCAACTTTAGGGCTATAGAGCCCAAAAGTAATAGTCTTGATTTTCAGACAATTGTACCGAATGGTCATACGTTTTATGCTGCGCAAAGATTCAATCAGTTTAATCTTGGCCATCACAAGAAGTGGGTTATTGATGTAGACAAATGCTCATGTACCCTTTACAACTCTTTTCATGTTTGTTATTACCAAAGAAGAAAAAAAGCCAGTCAGTCACTCAATAGTGTCTGACAGTGAAGTCTAGCAAGTAAACAGGTTTCCTTGCATAATTTGAATATGAGGACACTGCTAAGGTTTAAATTTCACAGATAGGACATACATGACATATTCATAGTTCCTGCAAAGTTCTACAGCATTTGAGGTTGGCTGCAAATGGGACATAGTACCTTTAAACTTCTTGATGAAGAAACATTTGAATAAAGAATCTTATATTAAATAAACGTATATGGCCGGCCATCTGAACAACCTCCTCGCAAAATTCCTTAAAGCTTAAAGAAAACACACAACACACAAAGACCGTGTGGGGTGGGGCGGGGACGGGGGACCTACATTTCCATCAGAATGTTAAAGTAATTAATATTTGGCTAATGATCGGTTAACATTCGAGGAGCACGATGGTCTCTTCGTAATATTCAATTCGTATTTATCCCAGCCCCCACCCCCACTCCCCACTCCAGGGTCGGAGGGACTGCATGCGCGTTCCAAAAATCTCCGGCAAAGGGGTACACCAGAGATAGGGGGCCGGGGTATTTACATGATAACATCTTTAACAGGCAACATATATAATATTCCTGTAGACATTAACTAAACTTCTTCCAGAAAACTTGTTAATTTTCGTAAAATGGGAATTTCATTTATAGGCGATAGACTATAATTACAACAAACCAATGAATCTGTTCTGTCGTACAATGTAATAGATTTTTATTGTAAAGGGCGTTTCTGATAGGAAGGGATTATTAAATGACGCATTGATTATGTCAGAATGTCCTTGAATAAAATAATGGCAAACATATTAAATGGCAAACATATTATGGCAAATATATTATGGCAAGTATACCTGTTCAGAGCACGTGCAAGCATGGCTATCTCTCGCCCAACCACCCGGGTGTTTTGACGGCACAGGTAATTGTACCCTCCCACAGCCCCATCATTCCAATCCACCATTATCACGTTCATATCCTCCTGTGACGAAAGAGCAGTTGAAATAATCAAATAATAATAATAATAAGTTATGGTAGCATATAATCTAGACTGTTGATGTTATATCAAATTTCTTCACGGTCTTGAGAAAAAATGTTTAAACAAATATTCCTTACTTGAAATTGGTGGTTGATCACAACTCAATCATCATCATCATCATTCTGCAGGTATTGTATCCTTTAAAAAGAACTTTCTTGTCATTGTCATGGTGTCTTCGCATATATATTTATACTTCGATTTATCTCTTATGGGTCCCGTTTTGGGTATATTAGGAACATAGGTCTACACAGTAAAAACGCTGTTTAAAAAAGTGATGTTCACTTACAGTTGTACACTATCTTAAACAACAGTTGATCAAATTGTAAACAATGTTGCTCGAAACAGAAGTAATTTTGTTAAACATTCGTTGTTTAAAATTTAATGACTGCTATATTTACTATACGAGAGCTTTTAGACAGTGTTGTTTACATATGACGTCATGTGTCTCGTGCCAGTTAAGTGCGTGTTGGCTAAAGGCTTTATTTCACATTGTTATGTTTAGAAACAGGTTCCTTGAAACTAACATGCAATTGAAATTGACATGCCACTTAGAAATGCAGTGCAGCTGTTAAGGCACAGCTCATTGTTATTCATATTAGATGCATACACACAATGCAAGTGTATGCAAGGGTCTTTTGCTGACTACACAGATTGATACATATGTAAAAGCACATGGACATTGAGTCTGGATTAAACTACCAAAGCAACCACACGTGTTTCTGCAGGCTTCATTTTGTTTGTCTCTATACTTACATTTATTTAGCTTAATAGTTATTACTTTCCAACCCACAACACAACATCATGGCCGACCAAGCTACCGACGCGCTTCTAAGTGACTGGGGATTCAATGGCTTAATTGAAATCACTTTTCTATTAACCACTTTGAAGTTTTTAATTTATAGCGTAAGTTCACAGTTAAAATTTTCGGTATCTGTACGCAAATGTCAGAATACAGGTAGACTTAAAATCGTCGCGTCATGCAGTGCGGCACTGATCGCGCACTCGGTTATAACGTGTGCTAAATTCCTTGCCATAGGGATTGCATGCATCCCTATATATGCAGTTTATACGTGCGTGCATGCGCGCTCATGCAAAATGGGCACTGTTTTGGCGCTAATTCATGAATTGCAGAATTACCCTAGTCTTCATATACCTATATAGAGACCCAGAAGTAGTGGTGCACTTATTCAGAGTATCAAACCCAAATTATACCCCATTATACAACCCTTTTGTTGTAAACAACCCCCACTGAACAACAGCTCCTTTTTAAACAACTTTCTTTAAACAACCCAGTTGGTTTAAACAACCCCAACTGAACAACAGCTCCATTTTAAACAACTTTCTTTAAGCAACCCAGTTGGTGTAAACAACCCCCACTGAACAACAGCTCCTTTTTAAACAACTTTCTTTAAACAACCCAGTTGGTGTAAACAACCCCCACTGAACAACAGCTCCTTTTTAAACAACTTTCTTTAAACAACCCAGTTGGTGTAAACAACCTCCACTGAACAACAGCTCCGTTTTAAACAACCGTCTTTAAACAACACCGGTTGTTTAAATTGTGATTTTAAACAAGTTGTTCAAAATGTTGATCAACTAAGTGTTTAAACTTTAAACAACTCGAGTTGCTTAACATTTTAAACAACTCTTAGATCAGGTCACCCGTTAATCAAGAGTTGTTTAAACTTTTAAACAACTTGTTCACAAAAATTTTAACTGTGTATGGTTCTCCCTTCAATAAAGGCCTTTTTGTAAAATAAAATGGCTAGGAATTATATCACGGTACACAGTTTCTCTACATCTGTTAAATACATTTTATATCAAGCTGACTTAATTTTGATTTGTTATTCTTTTATATTGGAGGCGTTGCGAATAAAATCAATCACTAAATAATTGAAAAGAGGTACTTTATTGAGAAGCGAATCTTTGATCGCTTGGAAGTAATCAGAAAAGATGGTATCGGTGTAGCCATGGATGATGAACTTGGTCTTGAGTTGGCCATCGAAGAGCGACGATCTTAGCTTCTCGTCGTCGGTACGGTCGAGGAGATGGTAGTCGTTCTGGGCTTGGTTCGACCGCGTGTAGAGGAAGAACTGGGTGTTGACCGCGGCCGGCGAATCGGGCGGGAAGCGAAGTGAGTGACAGGAAGCCGAGTTATCGAAACATTCCAAGTCGCCGTAGCAGACTTCGCGTGCAAGTGCTAGACGTGCGGGTAACAAAGTACAAGAAAAGAAGTTATGAAACTATTAATTTCATGATATGAGCAGATATGTATCTTTAGTGATTGTATTCATTGATAACATATCACAAAATAGCAAAGGCAGAGATTTGATTTGATCAGTTTTGATTTTTTAGTGTCAGTAGCTTGACTGCCAAGAATTAATCATGAACATAATGATAACAAAACATTATCACGTGTAATGTGGAATTATTCTTCGATTATACGGATGAATGTCAAATTATTACTTTTTACCTTGTTGCTGTTGCAACGGGGTTGTTGTTGTAATTATTATTGTTTGAATACCCCAACATTTGAAACGAAAAGTATAGCTATTAATCAAAAATAGTATCCAAATTAATGATCTAATTATGATCGAAAAAGTATTTTTCAACAATGAGATGTTCTCTATATTGTAATCAGGTTCTGCTCATACGATTTTACTCATAATACGATACAGATCTTGAAAAATATTACCAAATATGGTTCGAAATTGTTCACGAAAGCACTCACTCGTTTGAAATTGTTTAACAATTTAGAAAATGAATCATTTTCTTACCTGTTTGAAGATACAGCAAGGTAAACAACACCACAATGATCCGGTTCATCATTTTTGTGTGTTATATCCAATATTTTCTCTTCTGTTTTACCACTATATGAACTCAGAAAAGTTCTTTAAAATCTTAAGAGTAGGAGATGAGTGTTGTGTCCGTTGTAGTATACACCTATTGCTAAATACAAAGTTTGTGAATTATGATTTTTTTTTTTGACAAGTGTTGTCTTTATCATTAACGTCTCCGTCATTAACGGAAACGGAAGTTCGAAAGCGCGTCACAGACGGAGGAATCCGTTGATGCCTTCAAGTTTGGCTCAAAACCACTAATATCTTGTGTCTATGTTCTTACTATAATCGGCTTATTCGAGGATAGGTAACTTATGGCTTTATGTGAATGCCTATTTATTATGCAGTGACGTCATAGTGATTACATTCTGTTTTACAGATAAACAATGATATCAAGGGCGTCGAAAAATATAACATGAACAATTGTAATTTGTTATAATTTTATAGTTATCTGTGCCCGCATCTTGGATTGTTTAATATACAGAATAATATTGTGTCTCATTTGAATACCCTGTTTTTATTCTCAGTTGATTTCTTCCCAGTCGAATTATGTTAAAAAATATTGTCTCTATTGAGGACCTAAAGTATTTCTGTATTTTCAGACTAATTTTTTTTTATTCAGACATATTGAAATTGATATTGCCACCGGATTACCACTTAGGAATAACAATAAATAATTATGCACGTCCCTAAACAAGAATTATCTCTTTTTGCAAAGCGGACGGAAAGCATCCTTAATACTACTCGAAAAGATAAGAAGAGGAAAAACGGCATGGATTTATATGATTTTCTCCGTCTTGAAAAGAATTATCTTATCATGAAATGAGATTATCAAACCGCTATTTCAGACGTAGAGTTTAATCGTCTTACGTAACGATGTATCGGTGATGAATATCTGCTAGCTTATTAATCATTTTGTTAATGGCTGCGTGGAGTGGTTTCCTAAAAATGGATGTCATCCTGTTGGTATTTTTCCTTACCCTTGGAATTATACAAGGTAACTATGGCAACATTTCAACTTCCAAATTAAATTACTTTCTTTTGTTCTTTTCTGTCTAAAAATTCATGTTGCCTGAATGTGAGCTTAAAGTGTACGATTATCGTATGTAAATGGTTTAAATGTTATATTTTCGCTTACTTTTATCACAGTTTATTGATTTATTTTTATTTACTTCATCATTTTTTGTAATTGTTTGCTGCCGATGGTGCAATTACTGTCTTAAATGATGACTGTGTTATCTCTGTGTCTGTTCTTTCTGTCCTTTCTTGCTCTCTCCCGTGGGTCCAACGTCGAAACACGAAAAAGAAAACGAAGGAATTTCTCAAATATGCAATTGAGATCCTTTTGCCCGTCGCTTTGCGATGTATTAATACCTTAACATTATAGATCAATATACACTTCAACCAACTCCACTTTGCAACTTAAAATAAACCTTTGTTCCTAATTTTATTACTCAGCCCATGCTGAAGAGGTATGCTTCGACGATGTCGGTTGCTTCGCCGACGATCCGTGCCACATTCGCGGCTTCCCACCACGATCGCCCGACACCATCAACACTCGCTTCCTCCTCTTCACCCGGTCGAACAGGGACGATTACCAGGAGCTGAGCCGACACGATGTCGACGGTCTTCGGGCGTCGAACTTCGACCCGAAGAGGACGACGAAGATGTTCGTGCATGGATGGTGGGCGAATGGTCTAGATCCCGAAGAGCTGGAGAGAAAGGATGCCTTCCTTGAAATGGTCAGTGGCAGGTTTTTTTCTTTCTTTCCTTCTTTTATTTCCCCTTCTTTTGTAACTTGTTGATATTTTGTTATTTTCTTTGTCTTTATTATAGAGGATGGATTTAACAAGAAGGCAGAGAATAACTTTAATTTAGCAGAAAGATAGATCCTAAATCTGGTACTTTTTTTAGAAGTGTCGCTATCGGAGAGGGGCATGTTGCAGAAAACTATGTCGACAAGTTCTTATTTCTTATCACGTTATTTTACTCTTGTCGGCTAATTTTGAAATATCATTGCTTTTTTTCTTGTCATTTTTTCTTTTCACTTTATTTGTAACCCTAATCGATGATACACTTTTTTGAAATTATCCTGTCGTTTTAGCTATTTGCATAAGCGTCTGTAAACTTTTTTGTAATATATGTGACACTCCTATATACCTGTCAGATAATCAACGATCGAGACCCCCGTGTTCTTTTAACATGTCGCTCATATTTCTTGTGTTCAACATTGTCTTGAAACATATAAAAAGGTTTACCATTGATCATTATTCATCCTCTTTTTTCATCACTTATCAAAACTAGGAGGATGCTAATGTCATCGTGGTTGACTGGCAGAGGGGTGCGGCGGAGCCCCTCTACGGGGTAGCTCATCAGAACACCCGGGTAGTCGGGCGAGAGATCGGGCTTCTAGCTCGCTTCCTCAACCTCGAGACTGGGATGTTCTTCAAGGATGTTCATCTGATAGGGATGAGTCTCGGTGCGCACGCGGCAGGGTATGCTGGCGAGAATCAGCCTGGATTTGGGCGGATTTCAGGTGAGAAACTTTCTCCTCTTGCTTCGATGACGAATCAAGTTGGAGAAATAAAATTACGGATTATCGTCACTATATTTGGATAAATCCCCCCCCCCCAAAAAAAATAAAATAAAATAAAATAAATAAAAACAACAACAACAAACAAAAATTAATCGGCAATGCCATTTTGGCACTTGTAAGAATCATGTGAGAATACAAGATAATAAAAGTGAAAATAAAATAGTGAAAGAAAGCGATATATTAAAAAAGAAATATAGGCCTACAAACTTCGATTGATGTCTGACACTGCAAAATTACAGTTGCGTATATCCAACTATTGACACTAGAGATGGAATATCTCAGCTGCCAAAGCACATCCTTGCATGCCCTAAACCAACTGCAGGTTTTAAATGTTCTTTTTATTTTGGAATGGGGAGGTTTTAAATAAGGCCTTCATGATAATGCTTGTTCAATCCTTTGCTGGATACTCTACTGCTCATAGTAAGTGAGTGTCGATTAAGTCACGGTGAGATATTTTTGTCCTTTGACTTCTTACTACAGGTCTCGACCCCGCTGGTCCATTCTTCCGCGACGAGGGCTTCGAATTCCGTGACAACGGACCAGAGTGTCGCCTCGACCCCACGGACGCCATCTTTGTTGACGTCATACACACCGATGCCAATGAAATCACAGGACTTGGACAGATGCTTCAGGTTAGTGACCAATTCTATAGTGGTGAGTTTTTTTAATGGCAAGCACACCCAAGCAACTCCGGTATTCTGCAGGGGGGGGGGGGGGGGGGCTACAGTTCCAAACATCTGACCAACAAAATAAAATTTGAAGGGGTGGTTTCCCTCCATATTTTCAAAATTAACGCACACAAAAACACTCAAAGAATGTATTCAATATTACAAACATAATTTGTTATTTCGAAAATGTTCGGGCACCACTGCTCTGGTTTTTTCGAATTTACCTGTTAAGAAATAATCTTGGTGAAGCCTGTTAAATCTAATATGAACATTCCCTTTATTAGAATATAATTATATTCCTCTATCCGAACAGCTGGGACATATAGACTTCTACCCGAACGGTGGACGCAGGCAAGCCGGGTGCAACCGCGCGGACCTCTTCTCGGGATGCAGTCATTCGCGGTCATGGAAGCTTTTTACCGAGAGTATCCGGTCTGCGTGCAGCTTTACCGCGTACCCTTGCGAGAGCTGGGCTCAGTTCGTGGCCGGGAACTGCGTTGATTGCGGTGCACGCGGTTGCCCTATCATGGGTTACCGCGCTGACGAAAGCACTGCGGTGACCGGCAAATTCTACTTGTACACAAATGGGGAGCGTCCATATTGCATGGCGGACTAGTTAACCAATGATATACATGTATTTGAATTAAGATCGTTATATCGTAATTTCGATTTTCATTTTATTTCATTATGTCGAATCATAGTTTCGATGAATCTTCAACATGTTTAAGATATCTCAATGGAAATTATTGGAGATATTTATCATTAGGCATACACAGTTTTCTTGTGAGTACCAGAAAAACCATGTCAGATTTTAGGAAAGGAGAGCATTTAGGTCTACCAGCCTACGACTTTACCACAATAGCGTATAGAAGGCGAATAAATCATGAGTTATACTGATGATCATTAATTGTTGTGATTCATTTTCTCCATGAATATTATGTTGAAAACAGAATGATTTGAACATTAAATGAACATTAACATTCCAAACCTATGAGTGATTATTGAGTGGTATCGTTAATGTATGATCCATCAAGCAAATGGTATGTTTTATACTACCAATTTATCATTACACCGTATTAGACCCATTGTATTTGAAAGGGGGAGGGGTGCCATTGCCCCCCCCCCCCCCCGACAGATTTGCAAAAAAATGTGAAGAAGAAAGGAACAGAACAGAAGCAAAAGTGAAGCAATGAGAAGAGATGAGAGAAAATAACATGTTGGAAGGATAGGTTGACAAGAGAAAGAGTAGGGGAAAATAAGAGAGAGAGAGAGAGATGGCAGAGATTGAGAGTAACATTACATTGACCATCTCTACATGTGGTGTGAATACAGGGAGGATGTTAGTTATTTATTAGGTTGTTGTTGTTGTTTTAGTTTTAAGGGCGTGTGTCATCCAATTATGAATATTTACGCCTTGGTCTTGTTCTTCTTCTAGCTTTGGTTTCAGACTTGATGACTTCAGAGGAGAACACCGGATTAAAAAAAAAAATATATATATATATGTATAAATTAAAAAAGGGGAAGGCACATCATGCCTACTTTCTTCACTCCGCTCTATTTTCTTTCTCTATCTCTCTCTCTCTTTCTTTCTCTATCTCTCTCTCTTTTTTTTTTCTCTCTCTCTCTCTTTCTCTCTGTGCGTATATACCTCTCTTTCATTCACCGTTTATTCTATATATCTATGTTATATCGTTCTTTTTTTTCTCTCTCTTTCTCTTTTTCTCGCTTCGCTCTCTAAGCTATCTATCTTAATCACTTTCCATCTTTCATTGTCCACGTCTGTCTGGCTACCTTATTTTTAATTATACACCCTTTTCATTTACTATCGTCCAGATATACATTTTGCTGAAAAACAAAATTAAACCGTTCGTCTATATGACGATGTTTAGTTAAGAGATTATCACGTATGATATAACGGGGTTTTGTTAATCTAATCAACTGCACCTGCCGAATTTCACACGCTAAATATTAATATAATGAATTGTTAAATAAGCAATAGCCCTTGAAATAATTTGTGATAATATAGTAATTAATCAATCGTTTCCTCACGATTATTATTTCAGCAAAACGCATGACGCGCTTGTCATGTTGGTCTTGATGTGTTTTAGTTGTGAGTTTGATCGCCCGGATAGTTATTAAAGTGGCTTATTTTCGTCGTTTACCATGGATTTCCACATTGTGGTTTTGTTCTTGCTTGGTTTCGTTTCAAAACAAGGTAAGGCAAAAACGTTTCCTTCAATCAAGTAGGCCTACGTAATATTTACGGATACTGGGCTGATTGCTGTGTGGGGGGGGGGGGGAGAGAGAAGAGGATAATATATGTAATATTATCGTTGCTAGTTTGGGGGTATTTTGTAGAGATGATATAATTTGTCAAAATGAGATGGGGGAAATGTAGTGTAACATTAGGAAATTATTTTGATGATGTAGAAAGTTTCGGCGTTCGGTATCCAAGGGGTGTGGACACCCCCCCCCCCCCCCCTCACACAACATACACAAACCGACTCACACACTTTCATCGTTTTGTTCTTGTGCTTTAAATATGAGGTGTCGAATATATTGGTTGGAATGTCTGTCTTTTATAATGTTTTCGTTATTTTTAAAAAGTTATGTGCACAACGCTGATTTGTGTATGTTGAATGTTAGATAACATTGCTGTTGAATAAAGGGCAGATGTGATTGACGCAGATTACAGGTTAAAATGCACTGGCGTTTGGGTCGATAATTTACTGCTAATACATGCATAGATCCATCGTCGTAAATTTTGAAGGGATAATAATGAGGGCAAATAACATCGAGAATGCTTGTAGATTTACCAAAAGATAGATGGCATCAACTTCGTCGTAAATGGCACCGGTACGACAGCCTATTATTAATGTCCACTCATTATCCATCTCTTTGTTCTAATTTAAAGTTTTATCCGAAGAAGTTTGCTACGATGATGTCGGATGTTTTACCGACGAAGGTTGCCATTGGTTAGGCTTCCCGCCCAAGCCACCATCCGAAATCAACACCATGTTCTTTCTCTATACGAGACGTAATCAGTTCGAACCTCAAGAGCTACGACGTGGTGATGTCGACGGTCTCCGAGCGTCGAACTTTGACCCGAGGAAGAAGACGAAGATCTCTTCTCACGGGTACACTGCGGATTCCTTTAGGCCCTGGGAACTGGATAAAAAGGATGCTTTCCTCGAAGCGGTAACTTAACAATTGTCAATTTAATTTTCCTCTCTGATAATTATTAATCTTGGAGAAATTAAAATTAAAACACATCAACCAAGCCTTGAAGATAATGGCAACTTCCTTTAAAATCAACCCTGTGTCTCTGTTTTCTTTGGTTAGAGCCCACGAGGCCGACACCATGGTTCATCATGATACCAAGAGTTTCGGTCTCGTTCGCATTTATAGGGCCACTTTTCAGAGGGTTCGCTAAACCGATGGCCATCCAGATGGACATTCTTCAACTCTACCTTACTTATTCGTGTTGTCAACCTCGTAGGGTCGTAGGCCATTTCTTTTTTGTTTCCTTTTCTTTTGTCTTTGTTTATTTTGACTGCTTTTGACTGTATGTCTACTGCAGGGGGACGACCTCTTTCTTTGGTATCAACACATTTAGTTATCAAATCACTTATCTTTTACCAACTCGATGCTACTTTTATTTTGCGTCTGTAATTAATTCCTCGATCCATCATGATTATCTCCATCTTATCGAACACAGGAAGATGCAAACGTCATCTGCGTTGACTGGTCCGGTGGCGCTAATGATCTGTACAGCAAGAGTCACCAGAACGTTCGTGTGGTCGGGCGAGAGATCGGTCTTCTCATTCGTTTTCTCAACTTGGAGATGGGCATGTTCTACAAGGATCTCCACGTCATCGGCATGAGTCTGGGGGCACACGCAGTAGGGTACGCCGGCGAGTTTCAGCCTGGAATTGCAAGAATAACAGGTATATGACGAGGGTAATTCCCATCGCCTTCGATCTTCTCATATTCATTATTTGCAGTAGCCAATCAAACAACAATATTACCTGTTTGATTCGCTAGCTCTGGAACGAACATGGCTCATCCTTCAATATCAGGCAACTTTAAACAAGCCCTGGTCATGAGTTTTCTCTAATCCGCCTCTAAACGATTCTTCGTATAAATTAAGACCTTTTTGAAAACTTTCCCTGAAAAAGACTATTATTTTTGAACATCCTAAATCGGCATTAATTCGTCACCTTGATACCTTAAATGCGAGGTTCTACCTCTCAATGTTGTCTGCAAAACTATTATTGTAAAAATCAAATTCATTACCATTTTCAATAGGTCTCGATCCCGCTGGTCCGTATTTTCGTGACGAGCTAGGTTTCGAATTCTTCAACAACGGTCCCGAGTGTCGTCTCGATCCTACCGACGCCATCTTTGTTGACGTCATCCATACGGATGGCAATGATATTATAGGAGCAGGTCAAATGGGGCAGGTGAGAATGGTGACAGATCCAGGATTCTGTGCCAGGGGACTTAAGTACCAAATTCTTTTACGAACGTACGAAACCAAAAGGCTGCCGAGAGGCACAGTTATAAATGGAATTTTTTTATAATGAAAATGTTATACCTAAAATTTGCCATAGTTATTGGGATTAACCGGAAGGCGATCCCGACAACCCCACCCGGTGCCCTGATTCACAACTGATGAAGGTTGCTTTTGTGAGGTTTTATAAACGTAGTGATTTTCATCTCGATTTTTTAAGAAATCAATGCACTCCGTAAAACGTCATTTGCTCCGGTGATTTATGTTTCGGCTTTTCCCGCCAAAGATTATATTGACTGGGATGGTGCTTTGGTTTTGGGTTAGGTTTGGATTAAGGGTAGTCTATGGATAAAGTTGAAGATTTGAACAGTGTCACAAATCGACCACGAAACAATAAAACCCGGAAATAGTGGCGTATCATCATCTCATTCGTTGATGTATGCTATTTTCTGAACCTTCACATGTGGACTTGACATAAATTATATTTTTGTGTAGCTTGGCCATCAAGACTTCTATCCAAACGGTGGACGCCATCAACCCGGTTGCGACGGCCCCGACCTGACAACAGGTTGCAGTCATTCATGGGCATGGATGTTGTTTACAGACAGTATCCGATTCTCGACGTGCAGTTTTACCGCGTACCCTTGCGATAGTTGGGTTCGGTTCGTTGCCGGTAACTGCGGTGAATGCGGTGAACGTGGTTGCGCTATCATGGGTTACCACGCCGACCAGAATACCGCGGTAACGGGCAAGTTCTACTTGTCTACAAACGCGGACATTCCCTATTGCATACCCGAATAGCATAATGAATTTGATGTGAGATAACCAAGAGCACGTTGTGAATGATTTTTTTATCAATTTCGAAATTTTTAGGGGGACATTGTTTTCGATTAAGTTTTAAACCTAATGCTATTTTGTCTGTCGTTTATAATCAATCTTTTAGGTAAATCAATATGTGTATTCAATATACATTTAGTCACGCAATTAGTGATGTTTGGTATTTGAAGGAAATACAACTTTGTTAATTAGATATGAAACAGATGGCAATATTTTTTTCTCTCCCATGTATTTTTTGTTCTTCAAAAATGAAATAAAATTGTTACGGTTATTATTTGCACAATTATTGATTTGCATTATGATTATTTCGATGTTTGATTTAGTGAACAGGTCCGGGTGATATTTCGTTTGTACTAGTTCGTTGCTACGTTAATTTCACTGCATTTAGGCCTTTAGTTAGTGAGTGCCTTTGTATTTTGTATAGTTTTAATTCAGATATGAATTAATATTTTACAGAAACAGTCGAAGTGAGTGAAGAAGGGAAAAGAAGACAATGTGTAGAGGAGAGAAAAGGAGAGAGTGAATAAAGTAGAGGAGAGGAGAAGAAAACAAAGCGAAAAGTATGAAAAAGTATTTAAAAAAAGAGAGGTGTGAGCAGGAGAGGAAAACAAGAAAAATACTTGGAGTAAGAAAATAGAACAGTGAAGAGAGTACAAGGAAAGGGTAAAAAAGGAAAAGAAAAGAAGAGGGGAAAAACCGTGTGAGAGAAATTATAACAAAATATCCATCAAGCCAAAAAAAAGAAACGTTTTATTCGTTATTTTTCTAACTCTCGTCCTCTCTCTCTCTCTCTCTCTCTCATTGTTCTATGTTCTCTCTATCTTTCCCTAGTCTCTCCCGTTCTGCTTTCTGTCACGAATACTTCACACTGTCCCTCTCTCTCTCTCTCTCTCTCTCTTCCTCTCTCTCTCTCTCTCTCTTTCTCTCTCTTTCTCTCTTTCTCTCTTCCTCTCCTCTCTCCCTCCATCCAATTCCCCCTCTCTCTCTAGTCCTCATCTTAGTATTTTACCCTCACAGTTGACTTTGTTCAGCTTGGAGATTATGACGAGGTTCCTTATCCTTTTCGACAATATTATCAGATAACAGATGTAAAGGTACACACAGTTCTAAGCTTCAGATTCGGTATATATATCTACTTAAATATTTGATAATGATTTACATGTACCCGGATAATACTAATCATCGTCATTTTTTTTTTTTTACCGAAACAAATATTGAGTGGTCACATTTGGTCGAAAAGTACAACAGAGTGATGTGTTTTACATGTTTATTATGGATTTCCACTTCATAATTTTGATCTGGCTTAGCTTTGCCTCAAGACAAGGTAAGATATTTATATTGTGGGAAAATTGCTCTTATGAATCTCGAGTATATGCACCAACGTATACCCGGGGCTGTGTATCAATAACGGGCAGGTTTTTGGTTTGGGTATGATGGGATAAACTGGATCGTTGCAAATTTTATAATGTTTTGTATGATATCTTTATATTTTTCCCAGAAAGTAATATTCCATGTACCACTTTTGGCTAAATACTATCGTAGATTCAACAAGGTTATAAACCCGAGCGAAAACAAATAGTTTAGGTTAAACATGACTTGATTAATAATGAATAACTGTTTTGCTCGGGAAAGAACTGTTTGCCTTTAAATGAAGGCAAAGGATATGTGTAACAGAACAGCATTAAGAACAACAAGCTCTTCTGTTGTTAGAAAGAAAAGACGCAGAAGATGAGCTTAATTATCATGGGGACATTTCCAATGAACAATAACTGATATTTTCGTTTCCATTTTCATCATGCCCCTTTCATTTAAAGTTTTATCCGAAGAAATTTGCTACGATGATGTCGGATGTTTTACGGACGAAGATTGCCATTGGTTAGGCTTCCCGCCCGAACCACCATCCGAAATCAACACCCGGTTCTTTCTCTACACGAGACGTAATCAGTTCGAACCTCAGGAACTAAGACGAGGCGATGTCGACGGTCTCCGAGCGTCAAACTTCGACTCGATGAAGAAGACGATATTCTCGTCTCACGGTTATACTTCCGATTCGTTCACTTCGTGGGAGCTGGGTAAAAAGAACGCCCTTCTAGAGGCGGTAGGTGCATTTTCTCTTGATATCGTTTTATTCTTTCTTGTCCTGTTGGCTATATCCTATTTTTGACATCAACTTTCAAATATATCTAGCAAACGAAACCAATTAAATTATCAAAATATGTACTGGTTTGAGAGACTATTGAATATGTGATTTCGAGGTGAGACCCGCAAGTAGGCCTAAATAACATTCCGGTGGTCGATTTACCCAATATCTCGAATGAAGTTGATGTATATTTGTTTTATCCCCTAATATAACCTTTAAGTATTATTGTTTAACTGCATTCTGTAAAATAGGAATATTTAAAAAAAAAAATGCAAACAGCTAATATCAAGGCAGTGAAAGACATTATCATTATCGACCTACTGTGACGTCACAAAATGATGTTGGTTTGTCGTGTTTTTTTTCTCGTTCTGTTTAACATAATCGCAAGGACTTTCGAAAAATCGTGTTTAGAGCAATTTCATGACACCAATGTGCTTTGGAAACAACGTTCGGATTATGCCCACGTACCGGCGTTCGCAAATTTTCAAAAGCTGACGCACATGGCTGAAATTGCCTAAGGATTATTTCTCGAAAGTCTTGTTGATATTGTTCCTTTGTTCGTATCTATTCCCTCAACCATCATCGAATGCAGGAAGACTCAAACGTCATATGCGTGGACTGGGGTGAAGGTGCATTAGGTCTCTACAGCAAGTGCCATCAGAACACCCGGGTAGTAGGGCGAGAGATCGGTCTCCTGGCCCGCTTCCTCAACCTCGAGACCGGCATGTATTACAGGGACGTCCATTTGATAGGAATGAGTCTAGGGGCACATGCCGTGGGGTACGCCGGCGAGTTTCAACCCGGTATCGGAAGAATAACAGGTGGGTAAAATATGAGTTTGGTTGGTTGGTTGGTTGGTTGGTTTTACCTAACTGTGAGGAAAGAATGTGTATGCTCGTAAGTAAGCAGGTGATTTCAAAGAGCTTGTTAAATAAATCCCCTTCCTTTTCCGGGGAAGAGTCCGCCCCCTTTTCAAAATCCATATTATCCACTGTCAAACAACTCAGATTCCCTGAGCTTCTCATTCCCTTAACCATTCCTTTCCCTCCACAAGCCGCCTCTAGAGTGACCCCTTACAAACACCATCTCATAAAATACCCCTAGCCTCCTAAACAACCCAGAATTAGGCATCAGAAATAAACCAAAAATAATTGTTTAATCTTGTTCTAGGTCTCGACCCCGCTGGTCCATACTTTCGTGACGAGGGTCTCGACTTCCGGAACAACGGACCAGCGTGTCGTCTCGATCCTACGGACGCCATCTTTGTCGACGTCATGCACACAGATTCAAATGACATCACAGGACTGGGACAGATGCAACAGGTTTGTTTCTTTGTTTTGTTTTGTTCTTTTTCAATAAGAACAACGCACAGAAACATCCAAGTCATCACAACCCTTCTCCGTATACCCTTGAGAATGAATCTAAACACGGATTCATATTTAGTACTGCGTAGCTCCGTTCCTTTCCATATGCATGTTGCTTTCTTCTCTTATTTCATTCAATTTGATACAGTCCTTCAAAATTTAAGTCCGGTAAAAGACTATCTTTATAATCATCAATATTATTATTATCATTATTATTAGTATTATCATCATCATCATCATCATCATAATCTTAGCCACGTTGTTACAATCTCTGGGAAAAACCTTTATCATCTTTGACATAAGACAATCTCAAATATCTATTTGCTCGTGATTTAATACTCTTCCCCTTCCCTTCATCTAACCATTATCATATTCCGTTTATTTCACAGATGGGGCATCAGGACTTTTACCCAAACGGCGGTCGAACCCAGCCCGGTTGCTCCGAGTCCGACCTCCTCTCAGGCTGCAGTCACATGCGAGCGGTTGCTCTATTCAGCGAGAGCGCGCGGTCAACCGCGTGCAGTTTTACCGCGTATCCGTGCGATAGCTGGAGAATGTTTACGGCGGGTGAATGCGGTGACTGCGGAGAAAGCGGTTGCGCCGTTATGGGTTACCACGCCGATCAGAATACCGCGGTCACCGGTAAATTCTACCTGCAGACCAATCCGCGATCGCCGTATTGCTTTCAGGACTGACAAGATATATTATGCCGGAAGATTTAAGATGAAAATAAACAGATCTAGTTCGTCACAGATGAAGAAAAATGTGCAAAATATAAACTGGACCATAAAGAATTTTGGATTAAATTTGTTTGCCGAATAAAGAGCAGATATAGCTAACATAGAAAACTAGTTGTCATTGAGGTGTATAGTGGTTAATTCACTTGATTCACAATCCAAGGGCCGATGGTTCGAGTCTCAGCCCGGCACTAATGTCCTTTGGCAAGATATTAATCCACATTTGCCATTCTTCAACCGGGTGTATTTGTGTAGCTTGCCATTGCTGGGGTATAATTATAATGGCAGGGCACCAGTGTATATTCAATACATTTTTTTTTTGTATTTCTTTTTTCTTAGAAAAATATTTGTATGGCCTCCAGTAAATGAAAAGAAATGGCACTGGGTTCAATGGGGGAATGTACAAAGTATGTTTAGAATCTACAGCCTTGTTCAAATATGACACGGTAAACTGCGGGAATATCATTTTGTTTTAATATAATGATGTAATTGTTATTCGCTTTATTTATCTGTATCTTATAACACAGAGCTCAGTGAACACCTTCTAGGACCTTTGTTGAGCGCAGTTGCCATTCATGTACACGCTTTTGTTTTAAACCGCCGCGGATTTACCGCTTCATGATATGTCAGGCCTTAAGACTGAAGGTAGCGACATACGTCATAATGACAATGATGACAATAATAAATGATGCATTACCGCTGATAATAATCTTGATGTTGATTGCAATGGTACTTAAATGGTGACGTCGGCCATGGTTGTGTGATGATGACATCGATGATGGTGGTGGTGGTGTTGGTGTTTGGGTAATCACAGCGATTACGTTGAGGATGAAAGATAATAAAATTAAAGATTATAACGATCATGACGATAAGCCCTATGATAGGGATTTGAGACCCGGCACGGCACTGGTGTCCGTTTGCAATTAAGACCATTATCTATATTTGCCACTCTTCTTCCAGGTTTTAAATGGATACCCGGTAGGCTACAAACTTTTATGTGGTTTAATTGGCTTCTGTGCACTTGTAAAATGGCACCGGGGTACTCCCCAGGGAGCGGAGCGTGTGGACTATTGTATAAAAATAATAATTTCTAGCTTCCAATGATCGGGGGGGGGGGATCAGAATTATTGTGCGGCGATTAGATACGTACCAATAAGCGCTTTACATATGTTATGTAATGACCTGTTCGTTTGTGTGTGTTTTTGTTCATTTATTTTCGAAACTTTTCGAAAGAAGATATATTTCACTAGAATATGCTTCTCAATAACAATTATATTCACGCTTATTCATCTATAGAATCAATGGTGTTGTGATTGGGCTGGTTGGGGACGCTAGAGTAGGCCTACAGATATTATGATTCACTTTATACCCTCAATATTCATATTGTTTTCATGAATATATGTATATTTGTGATTTTATTGTTTTGTAATAATCTATGTTTTTATTACTAAGATGCTGCACAACGTCGTTGCATCTCAGAAACTATAAACGCGTTTCACACCTAGCGATCTGCCTGTAGTATGAACATTATCTACTTCCCACGAAGTAAAATGTTGAAACATTAATATATTTTATTAAGTAACAAAAAAATGGGCGTTTGCCCCTATACAAAGAAAAGAAGAATATTTACATTTACGATGAGACACTCTTGAAGCGAAGATATGCTAATCTTCTTATGGCTAATATAAAGTAACAGATGCAATTTTTCTCAGGAGAATTTTTGCAAAAGAATCAGTCTTGGTCAGTTGTTGATCGGGCCATGTTATTTACAATTCCATCATACTCGTAAAGCCTCAGACGAAACCAGAAGACACTGCAAGTTTTCTCGATACTTAAAGATTTAAAGGCAATCATGAACATCTTGGTTCTACTCTTCGCTTTCTTTCATGTGTATCTTGGTGAGTTATGCCCCTCATTTTATTTGAACGAAGTATTCTATATTTTTCGAGACAAATATGATAACAGTTTGGATTTGTTGGGGTACTCTTACGGGAATAATAACAATTTGTATCGAGTTTCATTCATTTGTGATGGTCATGATAACAGGCCTGTGAAGGTTATCAGTTATTGATTTGTCGATAATTGACACAATTTGTCTAACCAAATGAAAATATTAAATTTTTCATTTTCTAAAAAACTTTGCTGAAATTAAAAAAGAAAAAGAAAATTCATATTTCGTAGATTATGGTACATGGGTCCGTGCATAAAATAGATATTAGTTGCTTCTTCTTTTTCTTCTTTTTTCTTTCTCACTCTCCTTTTTCTTCTTCTTAATTTTCTTCTTCTTCTCTTTCTTCTCCTTCTTATCCTCCTTCTTCTTCTCTTCTTTTTCATTCTCTTCCTCTTCTTTATCTTTTCCTTCCCTCTGTCTTTCTTCTCTTCCATTCATTCAAGCTATTCGGCAAATCCCGGTCTAGTCTTGTATAGGTCCCCTATGTTTTTAATCATAACAAATACTTCAACCCCACCCCCTGAAATTGTGAAATTAATGAAGAATTTCGTTTGTCAATGATAAACTATCTCTTTCCCCCCCCCCCCCCCCCTTCCAAGTTCAAGCCGAGGAGATCTGTTACGACGGCCTGGGCTGCTTTACAGACGACCTCGAGTGCCATAAATACCGTTTCCCGCCACAAACATTGGAGGAAATCGACCTCCATTTTTACCTCTACACGCGCCGCAATCGCGACACGCCCTATGAGCTATTCTGGAATGACGTCGGGTCCATTCGGAACTCGAACTTTGATCCCAAGAAGAAGACGAAGATTTTGACGCACGGATTCCTAGGGAACTATTCGGAGCCTATCTACGCCGAGTTTAAGGATGCCTTCATTGCCAGGGTAAGATATTTTACTTTCTAGAGCCCGGTGCACACTGAACGAGGCGTCATTCCGATTACGCTAATTAATGCGCTAATCAGATGCGCCAGTGAATGCAATTAGCCTATTTGCCTATTGATAAAAACATATATGTACTTTTCAAATTGCAATCACTTATGTACAACGAGCTTTATGCAAGTGCAAGCGATGTGTCATATCGGCAGGGGGGGGGGGGCACGTGCCCTCCAAAAATTTCCAAGATCGGTAGAACTTTCTTAGACCCCTCCCCAGGGCGTCGATCAATTACATGTATGTGCCCCCCCCCCTCCCCTACGGCCCTGCATATAGGCCTATTATCTCATCTTTAGAGGAGATTAAACAGTCTTTACTCGATCGGCTTGTATCATTCTCTTCACCGTCAGGAAGATGTGAATTTCATCCTGCTCGACTGGCGAGAAGGGGCCGTCACCCTCTACCCACGGGCCATGCAGAACGCCCGGGTGGTGGGTCGCCAGCTCAGTCTCCTCGTCCAGGCGTTCAACAGGGAGTTCGGAGCGTACTACCGGGACTTCCACATCATGGGGTACAGCCTTGGCGGGCATGTAGCCGGGTACGTAGGGCAAGAGATCCCTGGTCTAGGCAGGATTACTGGTAAGTATCCCTCGGAGAGGTTCTAAAGCCGTCGGCCCTCTAATTGCTTACTAACAAGCATTTATGCTTTCTTAGCAGTCACGTAAAAATAACCACCACTACTACTACTACTACATTCATTTTATGTTCTCATGAAAAAAATCAAAAACCAACAAACGCGATTGTATAATGATAGAAAAAACGAAAATAAAATGCTAAACGACCATAACGAAAGTATTTTAAAGGCATGAAACAAAACGTAAACAGATCGACTATTTTTTGTTGTAATATATCCTCTCCTGTTTACCATGAAATTAAACACTATATTTTTTTCAATTTGAATCTGGTCATATCAAAGCCGTTATGCGTTATGGTATTTGATTTTAAATGAAATTTACAACACATATAACCGGAATGGAGGACCTGCATAAGATTGAAAACAAAAATATATTGCAAAATGCAGTACGTGCTATTAGATAGTAAAGTTTGAAAGACGAGGATTGTCCAAGTTCGGCCCAAATTCCATAACTTTCTTATTTTTCGTCCGTTTTTTTATGATACTTTGACCGTTTTCATTGTTTAGATTTTCTCTATTTATTCATTACAACTTGCAAAAATGATACACCGTCGCAGTAATCATTTTAATATCAAAATCAAAATGGAGAATTTTTTGTTTGAAAAAAATTAAGATGGCTTCATAACAAAAGTATTACAAATTGAACTATATAATGATAACTCGATGTAAACAAAATTATCAGGGTCTAATCTTCATTATAGGTCTCGACCCTGCTGGACCAGGTTTTCAGAACACTGACGTCCCTGAATGTAGACTGGATAAAAGTGATGCGATTTTGGTAGATGTGATACACACCGACGGGAGACCAGTTGGATATGGAACACAAACACCGGTATGTTTCTTATTGTTGTAGTTGTTTGTAATTTGCTTCAGATTGAGATTTAATTTAATTTTATTTTTAATTTCAATTTATTTTTCTCGGTTTGATTCCCCTTTTATTCATGTGTGATTCTTCTTTTTCGATAAAAGGAGTTGACCATCTTAAAGGGATCGTTTAACAATGTTAAATCTGAGATACACGGCCCTACATGTTGTCAGTGTCTGTGATATGGTGTAATATTGACGCCCTAAAAAATTGCGCTTCAAAATGATCAAGAAGTGCCTCAAAAAAGTAAAAATCTTTGAGTGACCGGTTTTACCATACGTTATCCCCAATAGACTGTAGTGTAAGATGTGTAATTCCAATCATAAATATCTTGATAATCAGACAGGCGATCGGCTTGTAAAAGTTATGGGGTTCCTGACTGACCTAAAGGTTTATAATTATCATTGCAGCATGAGCTAAATCCAGAATTTTGTTTCAGAATCTGAAACAACGTTATCGGATCCCTTTAATCTAATGTTGCCGATTTTTGTTCTTATTTTATTTTTCAGTTCGGTCACATGGATTTCTATCCCAATGGCGGTTCGGACCAGGAAGGATGCTCTCTTGATGTTGTCTCTGTATGCAGTCATATGAGAGGAAGAGACTACTTCCTAGAGAGCTTGATCAACAAAGACTGTCAGTTTACATCCTATCCGTGCTCGGACTGGAATAGGTAAGGGTTAAGCCAGAGAGAAGAATTATTGAGAAGGAGAGAAGGAGAGGGTGGAGAGACGGTTAGAGAGAGAAAAAGAGGGGGTTAGGAGAGGGGAAGGAGGCGACAGAAAAAGAGAGAGAGGGGAGATGGACAGACGGTTAGAGAGAAGAATGGAGAAATAGAGAAAGGGGAAGGGAGGAAAAAGAAAGAGAGGGAGGGGAGAGAGAGAGAGAAAGATAGAGTGAGAGACGGTTAAAGAGAATAATAGAGAAATACAGAGAGGGGATCGAAGGGAGGCGAGGGAGAAAAAAAGGGGAGAGAGAGGGGTGATAAGAAGGTTAGAGAAAAGAATAGAGGAATATAGAGAGGGAGAGGTTGATTGAGAGATGGTTAGAGTGAAGAATAGAGGTGCACTGAGAGAGAGAGAGAGAGAGAGAGAGAGAGAGAGAAGCAAGAGAGAGAGAGAGAGAGAGAGGGTCAGAATGAATCAAAAAGAAATGAAGAATGCAAAGATGACAAACACAGAAATGGTCACATTAAAAAGACAAAGCTAATTGATGACACCATTTCCTTGTGATAACTGTTATGAACTATTAATTTGCAATTTTTCACCTCTTCAAAATGGAAGTCATGTAAATAAACATCCTAAACACGTTATTCATTTTTAAAAAAGTATTGATATTGGTATCCCAATCTTATTCTTTGTCAGCTATCGTCTCGGTCGATGCAATTCGTGCGGTGATGAGGGCTGCCCGTCAATGGGCATCAATGCTGAGATCAACCCGATAAAAGGTTCATACTACCTCCGTACAAACGCCGAGTCTCTCTACTGTATAGAATAGAATATTGATCAAGACAGATTTCCAGGACAGTGAATATACCCTCCCGGACGGACAACTAACCCGGACAATCATCCCAGAAATTATCCCCTCGGACAATAGTGCGAGGACAATTACTATCCCCCAAAATGTCCCCTTCGGGGGTCAATAACTTTTCCAGGGTGATAGTTTCCTTAAGAGTATTTTTTTTTGGGGGGGGGGGGGGGGGAACTATTCTGAGTTGTAGTTGTCGGGGAATACAATAACTGTGTTGTCTATTTTTTGCTTTTGTGGGAGAATCAATTACTGTTTCAATTTATTAAACTTCATTCCACAAGAAATATAACGTATATAAAAATACATGAATGTACAATAAAATAAATACATATAATGATAACAAATTTGTGATTTTTTGCTATCATCTTTCATTGAAAACTTGTTATTTTACAAGTTTTAGGTTAAATAGTCCCCGAGGTCGTTTTTATTTGTATAATTTATGTTTATAATCTCTTTATAATTATCGTGCTCTCATTCAAAGAGATATCAATTTAGGAATAACTTCATATTATCTTCCGATTCTTCATGATAATGATACAACATTGAAATGATTAATTGTACGATGCCAAATCGACCTGCAACTTTATGAAAAAAAATTGAATACCAAAACACTTTTTTATAATGATAAAAAAGTGAAAGTTAGAATAATATTCAAATTTCGTTTTGTATAGTCCGACTAGAGAGAAATGTAAAGTTATGTTCATGCGTTACATATTATGAAATCAATACTTATCCCTAAATCTAAATAAATTAATGTTTTTGAAATCCACATTAAATTGATGTATTGACGTAATTAATCAAACAAATCTGTTTGATCTTTTGTTTCTCAATGTCATAAGGCCCCCCCCCCCCCCAAAAAAAAAAAACATGTTTCGCGTCCTGCCTTTTTGAAAAATAGGAAGGAGGAGGCCCTTCTTTTTTTTTTAAATGGCCGCTCGGTACATTTTTCCTGACAGTCGGGCTATTTTTTAAGATGGCCGCCGGTATAATTTTTTATTAAAAAAAAAAAAAATCAGAAATAGATCATTTTAGCAGTATATTTTTCATGTTTTGATTCATTGAAGAAGAAAAAAATTATTAAAAATAAATAAATAAATAAAAAATAAAAAATAAAAAAAATAGGAGGCGGCCCCCAAAAGGAAGCGGGTGGGGACGCTAAACATGTGTATTTTTGTTAATGGCCTTAGGTTATATGGCGATAGCGTAGTTCTCTTTTAAATTCATGCCAATAAATGAACTTGGAAAATTCAATTTAAAATGCTTTTCGTAACGAGCATAATTGAACGGTAGAACCTTTTACATTGTGTCAAGGGAACAAAGACATGAATGAGGGCCACCAAAACAAAGGAATAAATGGACTTGCCATAACAATAGAAACTTGGTAGTTTTATGTATGGGGCTTAAACCTGTGAAGTGGATTATGAATGCGCTTGGTCTTTCTATGGGGAAGGATTATATAGTTTATATACTTGGCTTTTTAAGTGCATCTCAAACTGGGCATCTTGTAAGGGAATAAATATGAGGGTACTTAAGTGGGTTTTGGGACAATACTACACGACATCCCCTTTCTTTAGAAAACGAAACCTAGTTAATTGTATGTACTCTATAGCGAAAGGTGGGATTATTGTTCCAATTCCTCTTAAATCTCTCTCTCTCTCTCTCTCTCTCTCTCTCTCTCTCTCTCTCACACACACATCTTCAAATTAACTACAGGTAAATCACTAATATTCTAACACATACTAGAAGCACAAACTGATAACACTTATAATAATAATACTATAACACTGAGTCTATTCTAAACACATATAATAAAACAAAAAACAGTGAAAATCAAACAAATGTTAACGAACCTTAATGCAACATTATTCAGGTTAACGCAAGTATGCTCCTTATCCTTTTCTTTAAAAATCAACTACACTAATAACCAATGAATAAAGAACTGAAACAAACTGTTACTTTGTATCCAAATGAGTTTTATTCTTAATTTCCGTAAGTAAATAAGAACGATTAAGAATGATTGAGTCATAAGTGTATTATTTGTTTTAGGCCTATGTAATATGAATTATGAAATGAATTATGAAATATGTAAATCCATACCATGTATGAAGTATAGATATGATTATCAATCCATAAATATGCTTAAATTATGAATAAATTAAGATTAAAGATATCTGTGACGTCATGGAGATGCTCTATAACCAACCATGACGTCATAGAATTGCGACAGGATTGGGAAAGGGGAGGGTCGACAGGCATGAACTGGCTGGGGCTTGACGGGGCACGAACTGGGAGTAAAACAAATTAGGGGAAATCAAGGGAAAAGCTATAAAGCTATAAAGGGCGGAGGAGAAACGCCCTTTTCATAAAAACAGCTACGGTATACACGCGTACGAAGAGAATATTACAAGAGGAGACGAATCACATCATGTGTAAATTCAAATTCAAACTTTATTGATTTTAATTCAAACAGATAGGATCATGCTCAATGTTGTATACATTAGAATAATAGATTATAACTTTCAAAGTTAAAGTGTAATATATATAGATAATTGAATGTAAGAGTAAGATAACAATAACCAGGAATGACACAAATTAAAATACTACTGCATGTCTCACCTGATATATGATACAGGTATGAGCATAAATTATATTCCTCGTGATATCTTTTACAATTTTTCCCCATTTCTTTTCAAATAAAAAGGAAAACAAAATACAACATGATATAAATATGTTTTATGATTTCGAAATTTAGATGGTCCCGACAACTCGACCCTATTCCAATTCCAAACTCGTGTGAGACAGTGAGCATGGGAAGACAATAACTTGCATTTTACAATACTTAATTACATCGAGATTAATAACAACGGTAAAAACAATTAATGATCTACTTATTTCGTATATGGTCGTATTTCTATCACATGTATATTACAGCTGCCCAAAAGACCGATAGCGAATGGTGCCAAGGATTCCAGAAACAGGTGGAGAAGGCGGACTTGCTCATTTAGGTTATCGAATATATCACGATCATCGATATTTACAAAGACTTGTCCAAAGGACAGGATGATACAGGTTTTTAGGAGGAGTTATCTCGCACTGCATGGGCCAGGCCCAAGATCTAATTGATACTGTAGGTGGGAAATTTGAATAGAGGATTTTAGGATGTCTGACTGGTCTGCAGGCACTCGGCAGATTGAGACTTCGTAGAAAGGGGTCTATATACCCTCCTCATTAGTTTTGGTCTTGCTTATTTCTTTAAAGCTAAAGACCAGTTATAGTCATGCAAGTGCATAGTGAAAGAAACGTTGTGAAATCGATCAGAAAAGGTTGATCATATAGCATAGATGTACGGCAAGGTTCTGGAATCATCAAAATTATAAGAAATTTGGCCAAGTCTTCATCAAGTTAGAATCACTGTACACAGAAAGATGTATATGGGACTACACACACGTGCGCTACACGTGCATTTGTATCTCTCAACAGTATATAGATATACTAATTTACCAAATATATCAATTAGTAGGCCCTTTCCCGTCAAAATTGTTATCGTCATGTAATATTCAAAACATATTCTTTCACATGATTAGTAATAAGAGCTTCCATTTCATTTTTTGAAATTGGGGCGTTTCCAATAATGGTCTTTACCTTTAAAGTGCTTCCTAAATATTTTACAGCTCTCGTGTAATATTCTAACGTCACTCTGACAATACTCCAAAATTTCATGCTGGAAATTAAAGACGTATAGTCTTTGGGCATGTTGTCATACCATTCATTAAAAGGCATGGAGGACGTTTTTCATCATTGAACTTGTACCCTAGTACTTTTTGTCTGGGAGGTGACCTACATAATTTTTATTTTCCTCTGTATTGAATAGATGAGGCAAGAAACCCTTTTTCATTCCTTCGATGCCAAACGTTTTGAGTAATTTTGCCAGCCCCATCTTAAGTTTCATGATTTTTGCTCCGTTCATATAATCACTTCGGGGATGATCCCTTTTCTTACAAGATGATTGAGTAGAAAATACAAGTCATATACGCTTTGGTGTCGTGGGCAATGGCTATACGGCACAAGCAGCGTGTTGTTCAGAGAATAATCACTCACAAAAATTGTCTAAGGTGTCGTTCCCTTGTTGAAAAGTAATCTCCCTAACACCCTCTTCCTCATAAAATGCACAACAGTCATCGTCAGGAGGGGTTAGACCATCCATACAATTTGTACATTCCCACGTAGCGTGGACGAGATTGGGAGCATGAGATCCAGTGTTTTGTGTGCATTCAAAGAAAGACAAAAAAGATGTACACTTTACACTCGGGTAAATCATCTGCCTCCCCAGACTTCTTGTCTTTTGATTTTTGATGCTTCTTTTTCTTTTTCTCAAATATTTCGTTCTTTGCCTTTTCTTTCTCGGAAGGAACATAGTAAAGGCTTTAAATTCTTTTGTCACTTTCATGTAACAGTCATGGGTTGGGCCATCTACATAATCTTTACAGGTTCTGCAAAATATTTGGGATTAACACTCATGATCATCCTCCCGACCATGGAACACCTCTAACTCAAATACGCGCTCGCATTTTGGGCATTTGTTTTTGGTATTGCAGGCCGTAGAGTTGTTGAAGGGGGTAACGCTATGCAACTGAAAGCAGCGCTCCGTTAGAAAGGTCATATTACATTTTGAACATGTCCGAGGTGAGCGTTTGGCTCGATCTTTACGATCGCAATTATCGGAAAAGCCATCAGGGCACGTTTTACAAAATTCGTGATACCGAGGGTCATTGAACACTTCCAAACATTCGTGATACCAAGGGTCATTGAACACTTCCAAACATTCGTGATACCAAGGGTCATTGAACACTTCCAAACATTCGTGATACCAAGGGTCATTGAACACTTCCAAACATTCGTGATACCAAGGGTCATTGAACACTTCCAAACATTCGTGATTAAGGGTCATTGAACACTTCCAAACATTCGTGATACCAAGGGTCATTGAACACTTCCAAACATTTCTTACAATAATTATTCGCACACAGAAATGCCGACATGTTTTTAATGACATTGTAGTGTGACGATTCTGTGAGATACAAGTACAACGTTTTTTC